GCGGGGCCGCGGCGTCCCGCCGGCCGTGCCTGCGCTGCTTTGTGTGCGGGCCGGGCGGGTGCGGGGCTGGGGCCGCGGCTGTGGCTGCCCCGCCTGCAGGTGAGCGCCCACCGCCACACGAGGGGCGGGCAGCCCGCCCGGGACCCGCATCGGAACCGGGACCGGCACCGGCTCGACGGGACGCGGTCGTCTTCGGGGGAGGGGGTAGAGCTCCGCTTGCCGGAGGGCGTCGCCGCGAGGCCCGGCTCCGTGGGGTCCCGCGGGCCTTGCTGGGGGACCCTGGGGTCGGGGCGGCTCAGGGGTTCTGGAGGGCGACCCCGGTGCGGGCGGGGCTGGGACCGGGGCGTCGGTGCTGGGTTGGGGCTCGTACCCACCTCTGAGCATCCCACCTGCGGCGCCATCCCGAGCCTTTCGTTGTCGCTGGGCTGATCCTCTCGGCAGCGGTGGGGGATGGTGGTCCCGCGGTGGGCAGCCGKGGGTAGCGGGAAGGGAGCTGGCAGCTGCCCGCACAAAGCTCCCCTGGGCGGCAGGCTGGAGCGTCGCCCGTGGCTGGGAGGGCGAGCGCTGGGAGGGTGCCCCGCCAGCCCGCGAGGGGCCGGGGCTGCTCCCGGGGCCGTGTCCGGAGCGGCACCGTGCATGGGCTGAGATGGACTCGTTCCCGAGCACTGGAATAGGTGCCTCTCCTGGGGCCCAGTGGCTTTCTCCACCAGCAGTTCTSGTCCTCTCCAAGGAGGCCAGTGTTCCACCCCATGCCCTTCGTCTTGTGCCTTCTCTAGAGCATCGCTGGGCAATGTCCTGCTGGTCCCTGTCTCCACTGTTCCTCCTCCATCCCATGGCAGAGGCCATTAGGGCACAGAGTCAYTGGTGCTGCTCAGGGCTGTGCTGTGGGTGTGGGGTTTGTTTGTTTTGGCTTTTTTTTTTCTTTCTTTCCAGGAAGCACTTAATGTTCTCGTATTTCTGGCTCCCTTTGCCACTTGAGATTTGGTAAATACACCAACCAAGAGTGGTTCTTAAATGTCAGACTGGACAAGATGTTTTGAAACCCCCTTAAACTGAGGCGGAAATGTCAATGTGTTGTAGCTGGTGACTTTCCRTGTCTGTGATGGCTCCTGACACGTGTGGGCTGCACCAGCACAGGGGCTGCAGACTTTCTGAGAGGCAGCATTGTGGCTGTGAAATACAGACTCTTGTGTCCTGGAGTTGTTCTCAGTGCTCCAGAGGCTTGAAGGGCTGGGAGTCATGGAAAAGATCTCCCTGGTGTGAGCCRCAGGTGTGGGTGAGGCTGGGCCCTTCGGTGGGGCGTGTGCTCCCAAATGTTTGCCGTTTCTGTGTCCATCATGGCAGTGGAAAGAGCAGGAGAGCTAGGCTGTAGGATGCGTGAAGGAGGAGATGCTGGTGGAAAGGGGATTTGAGAAGTCCTTCCCGCTAGCAGAGGCGGAGGATGGCACCTGTCTCGTACCTGAGCGTGGGCAGGGCTTGCCTTGGGGTGCTGGATGAGTGCAGTGTGCTCTGTGTCTGACCTTACCGGGGCTCCACGGGGCACACAGGCTGCTTGTGCAGCTCGCGGGGGATGAGGGGCCCTCCCTGTGGTGTCCTGCCAGGCAGTAGGAGGGAAAACAGACAAAGATCAAACCAAGGGAGCCTGGAATGAGGGGTACTGTCCTGCCTTTCTTCTGAGCACCTGCACCTGGCACAGCACCTTTGACCACTGCTGCACACTGTCGAGGAGGAGGAGTGATGGTTCTCAGAGTTTTTGTGAGGCCCCTTCCCTCTGAGCACTTCACCCCCTGACCTTTGCCTGCTGCTATCACCAGCGCTTGGATTTGGCAATTCCCCTTCCCCACACCCCATGCAACAAAGCCTTGATATTCCTTACCTGAAAATACAAAAACTTGTGTTGTGGCATTTCACTGAGTCAGTCTGTTCAAAAGGAAGTGCCAGGACTGTGCAATGAGTTCTAAAAGCTTCTGAAACATCCCTATGGCTGTGCTCCCTTCTGCTCTCCTGGGCCTGCCAAGGGAGGGTCAGGGTGCTAAAATGCTCCAGCACGGAGCTCACCCCATGGGACAGAATCAGGCCCAGCTCTAGGAACACCCACACCCTGGAAAGGGAAAAGCAGTGGGAGGGTACAGAGGTGTTTTTGTCRAGCTGCTGAGTGAGGAGAGCAAACATCGTGGCACACGGTGCCGCGCCACAATGGCACTCACGGCAAGAGGTGCCGGCTCACCTGTTACATACTTTTCAGTCTCAATAAGCATGTCCTGAATGTGTTGAACACTGTGGGGATCAGTCYTGGCTCACCTCCCTGCTGCACCCTGGGCAAGCTTTCTGGGAGAGTTTCAGCTGCATGGGAGATCTTTCAGAGAGCCGAGGTGCAGAGTCAAGGCAGCCCTAAGTCAGGGAGCAAAGGCAGGAGCACTGCTTGCTGGGGGTGATYTCCTGGTAATTGTCTCAAAGGCTGTTTTAATGTGCAGTTAAAGAGGTGCCAGTGGTACCGGGGAGTGCCCTGTGCACAGTTCTGGGGTGACCTTGCCTCCCCTGCTCTGGGAGGGAGGCAGTGGRTTTGCTGTAGGGCTGGCTGCTCCTGCACTCTGTGCCCTCCCACAGTTGGAGCCAGTGTGGGTTGGTGGCGCCTTGGAAGACCCATCCTAGGACAGGACTGTTTTTTTTCTATGAGGGATAAAGCCAGAGCAGCCCATGTCCTTCAGTTTGCCACCACCAGCTTGGTTGGTGCTCCTTTTCATGCCAGTGTGCTTTTCCCATCTCCAAGAAGCTTTGTCATTCCAACCAAAACTAGGGAATTCCCCTTCCATGGGGTGCCCTGGCTGAAATGGGGGCATTTGAGAGCTTTGCCCTTGAGCTGCATGCAGGGGGATGCATATGCCATTTTTGGGAGGGCAGTGGCACCCATAAGTTGCTCTCCCACACCCTCATTGTGGTGCTAGTGGTGGAGAAAAATCCTTTTTGCCCTGTGTTTCCTGTCCCRTCCCAGGCAGTGCATCCTCCACACTTCTTGTGGAGGAAAGTGTTGCTGGAGGAATGTGAGTGTGTGTGGCAGGAACAGTGGTCCCCCCAGTGTGGGGTGTGCTGGGAATCTCTGTCCCCAGCAGGGTTTGCAATGATGGGCTGGGGACAAGGATTGTAGTGGTGCTTTCTGGGGGAAACAGCCCTTTTTGAACCAAAGAGAGTTTACAAAGAAGCTGTACCTGCTTCTGACAGATGCTCCTTTGGGATACAAGAGCTTATGGGTATTCCAGGGCAGAATGAGCTGTGTGGGGCAAGAGATGCCTCTCACTTCCCTCTGCTGAGAGCTCTGTAAAACCCCGGTGCTGCTTTGGTGTCAGAATTCAGTTTTCTTGTGAAATAAGCATTGTCCATGCCTCGCTGCATGTGTTCTCCTCTGCCAGCAGGAAGGCAGGTGAGGCAGTGGGTGCCCCTTGGCACAGGGCTGCAGGGGGTTCTCATGGTCTCCACATTAAGCAACTGACCCTTCCCCATGTTGCAGCAACTCTGGATGTTGCATGGCAGAAGGGGCTTCATGTGGAGTTCCTGTGTGCTACTTAGCAGTTTTTTTGTGTATTGCCTATCTTTTTTCAGTCCTTAAGTAAAAATATATCTTTGGCRACTAAATGTAGCAGGGGATKCCCAGGCTGCRGGGTGRAGGGCTGTAGARCCAGGARAGGCCGAGCAGCAGCTGCATCATCCCAGAACCCCAACCCTGCATTTGTCTGCACTGAGARTCCATGGGAGAGGGGCTGGCTCCCAAACACAGCCCCCAGAGCATTTCTGAGCAGTGTTGCTGCTCTCCCTGTGTGATGGGGCTCCACAGGTCCATCAGGAGCCGACACTGTCCCAGCACAGCTGTGGCTCTGCTCTGCAGTGAGCTTTTGCCTCCACTGCTGTGCTCCCCTGCCCAGGATTAAAACCCCAGCCACGTCTAAACCACTGGGTTGTGGACAAGGCTTTCCATGCAAATCTCAGAGCACAGATGAGGCTGGTCCTCTGTCACCTGTAACTGCAGCATGTGCCTAAGGGACAAAATCGAGGGTGTGTGGTGAGAGATGTGGCGGTGTGGGCTGTGGCAGGGCTGGCAGCTCTGCAGGAGCCACAGTTGCACTTTCCTCATTCGGCCCTGGGTAGGGAGGCCGGGTGCCTCCACCCTCCGTGTGTCAGCCCGACCTTTACACCCGGCTGAAGGTCGGGCTGGCGCAGCGGCGGCTGCTGGGGTGGCGGCTGCTCCTGCCCAGCTGCCTGCCAGGAAGGTGCTGGTGTCTTCTGGAGGGTTCCCCAGCTCTTCCCGCACATCTCTGCCGCTGGGATGTAGAAGCAAAAGGTGAATTCCTCTTCCCTGCTCTTCTTCCAAAGGCGGGGACTCTGTGTTCTGCCTCCCCTTCCCCATTCCTGCTGGGGAGGAGGTCTTTGCTGCCAGCAGAGCGGTAGCTGGGTTCCCCCAATGGCTGTGGTGGTGCCTCCCTGCTCCAGCTGGTGGGCCATGGTCTCCTGGAGGGGCTCTCCTCTCTCTGCGTGTTCTCAGCTGCTCTGTAGGTTGGCAGCTTGCCGAGTCTTGCCCAGCCATTCCCTCACAGAGCTGCAGCTCAGTCGCAGTGAAGGACAGGTGCCCTTGCCTGGGCTGCTGTGTGGGGAGTTGTGGTGGGGTTGGGAGTAGCTGGAGCCCTGTCTGCTCCAGATGCCCTGCCTGGACTCCTGCAGAGCTCTGGAACCTCTTTAGCTTTGCTGTCCTTCGTGTGTGGGGGTCAGACAGGCTCGTGGGCAAGATGCCTCGTGAACAGACCTGGCTGGACACTGCTGGATGTGGGGATTGGCCTGGGGGCCACTGTGTCTGCACTGACCACCCGTGTCCCCACAGAGTACAGCCGCTTCGAGTCCAAGATCCACGACCTGCGGGAGCAGATGATGAACAGCAGCATGAGCTCCGGCTCCGGCTCGCTGCGGACAAGTGAGAAGAGATCGCTCTATGTCCGGTAAGGCTGCACAGCCCCGCCTGTGCCCGGTGGGAYGGGCATATCCCACAGCGTGGGGTGCAGGGAGGGTGGTTCAGAGCCTGGGCCATGCAGCAGGGCCGAGAGGATGGTGTTTGGGGGGCCAGGGGATGGAGCGCCACAGATGTATCACAGAGCCCAGAGCACGCAGCAGGGAGAGCAGGGCTTTTGTGCTGGCCTGACAAGGCTGGGTGCTCTGCACTCCAATGCCTCTTCCAAAGACTGCTCCATTTTGGAAAGCACTGGTCTCTGCAGAGCCCTGATGGCTGCTGGCCAGGCCAACACACTGAGGACCCCTGGAAAACAGGGAAATGGTGGGCATGCAGCCCTGCTTCTGCTCATGGCAGCTTTCAGGGCGCTCTCCTTGAACCAGCTAACAGGCTTCTCTTTGTCTCCTCCTGCCATTGCTGTGGCAGGATCTGGCTGGAGGGGAGATGAGCTCTTAGGAGGATTATTGCTCTGAGCCCTCGATGCACTTTTGGTCTGGAGCCAGGTGCAGGAAAGGCAGGCAGGGGTTAAACAGCCATGCAGCTCTGACTGCTGCAAGTCCTGTGCGGGCAGGACAGCCACTGCCACCTCCTGCCTGCCACAGCGCCAGTGGGATGAGAGCTAATGAGTAATTTTAACTTGGTAATTAAAATAATCCTGTAAATCCTCACCCTGCACAGCCTGTTGCAGGTGAGGCTRGCAGGAGCAAGGGATGCTTCTCCTTCCCTGTGAGAAGGATGGCGAGAGCTGAGGCTGCATGAGCCTGAGCCTGCATCTCCCACTGCATGGCTGCTCCATGCAGAGGGACTTCAGGCATGGTTGCAAGCCCAGCATGGCAGGAGRGGAGAGCTGCAGCTCTGGGTTCCTGCAATTTATACCTCTCTGCGAGTCTCTGCAGGCATCTTGCTTGGTTTAGCATCTCAGGGCTTCCTGGAGGTGTGTGACGAGCTGGGCAGTGCTGAATAAACATCATCTTGTTAGTCCTGCCCTCACTCCCCTGCTGTCCTGTGGACACCCTCACGTGTGGAGGAGGGTTTAGGCTGAGTCCAGCGTGAGTTGAGCCCGTTCCCTGGCTGGAAAGGTGCTGCATGTATCCAAGTATTCCTGTGAACCAGAGAGCTCCCCRTTGCCTCCATGCTACTCGTAGCATTTCCCATCTCTTGGTGCATCCCCACATGGGGCTTTGGAGGCCTCCACAGCACTGTGTGCCTGCACCCATACCCAGATGGAGCTGGGCTGTGCCTTTCTGAGAGGGTGATCCCAGGGGAGAGCTGTCCCCCAGCCCTTCACAACACTGCTCCACACAYACCCTGTCAGCATGCTTGCAAGAGCTGCTGGGTGCCCAGGCTGCCCCAGCCCTTCTGGGCGGGGTAGTTTCAAGCACAGTTTACCCGAAACCAGCTGAGCTGCTGCACTGTGGACAGGACATCAATTACAGGATGTGCTACCCAACTGCTGCCTTGAGTCAGCCCTGTGCGGCTTCATTGCATTCCATGTGCTGTTCGAGGGCTGCAGCTGGGTACCCAAGTACCTGCTGGAGCTGATTTGGGGATGCTGGAGATGATTCAGGGGTGCTGGAGATGATTCAGGGGTGCTGGAGATGATTCAGGGATACTGGAGATGATTCAGGGGTGCTGGAGCTGATTTGGGGATGCTGGATATGATTCAGGGATACTGGAGCTGATTTCGGGGGTGCTGGAGCTGATTTGGGGGTGCTGCAGATGACTCAGGGATATTGGAGCTGATTTGGGGGGTGCTGGAGCTGATTTGGGAATGCTGGAATTGCAGCTGTGCAGCACAGGCAGGGGCAAGGCAGGTTCAGGTCCTGTCCCTCACCTGGCTGCGCTGCCGTGGGCACAGTCTGCCAGCCCCGGAGCCGTGCCGGGTGGGGATGGAGGTCAGGCGGGCCTTGTGCCTGGGCACCAGGAGGAAGCCATGGGAGTCCTTGGCGCTGCTTCCCTGCCCTGCAGCCAARCCATCTGCTCTCCTGGCTGTCAGCGCTGTGAGCTGGCCCGGGGGCAGAGCGGAGCTGCCGTCTGGCCCCTGTGCACCCYGAGGAGCACCCGGCCCCGCTGGGTCCCCAGCACAGCCAGGGGCTCCAGGAGCGCCGTGCCTTGGGGCAGCCGTGCCTCAGGTGCCGCTTTGCAGGTGTCCAGCCCTTGCACAGATCCTGCTGTGCCTGTCCCGGGATGCCAGCGGCTGCTCCAGGCCTGGTGCTGCTCTGCAGGGCAGGGAGCATGGAGTGGGCAGGGCTCTCACAGCCTGCCTGCCTTTGGGAACCGGCCTGACCAGTTCCCCAGGGTCTCAGCAGCGGCACTGGCCTCACAGTGGCCTGTYAGCCACATGCAGTCTTATCTTTTGGCCAGGGGCTGCCTGCAAGGCTTGATTACCTCTGGCCACAGCGCTCATTGGTGCTGTGCTGCTGGCTCCAGTCACGCTGCCGTGCAGTGGGAACAAGCTCAAGAGCTGCCCTGGCYCTGAGCAGGCCAAGGAAGGAGAATGGATCTGGGGGCTAAATGGCTCTGGATGCATGGGGCAGATTGGGGCTTCTCCCAAAGAGCCCTCCCCAAACCATGGGTCAGCCCTTCTCCCCATTCAAGACCCACTCCCAAATGCCCTGAAAGGTTTSACAGCCCAGCGCTCCCCTGGCAGAAATGCTCTCCCAGCTCTGCTGCTCCTTGGGGGCCTGCCACATGGTCCCTCAGCCCTTCCACTTACAGTGTGCTTCTAGACCCGCTTCAGAGTCCCCACAGTGAAAGGAGGTAATGAGCAGCACAGGGGATGTCTCTCCTGCTTGGGGAAAGTTTATATGGGCCAAGATTAAACCAGCAGCCAGGCAGCGTTTGCCGTGCCTGGRCTCACACTGGGCTGGGGGCCCGTGGGGCCAGTGTCCTAGGAGCACATACAGAGGTTGTGCTGCCAGCACTTTGAGTGACTTTTCCCTTGCTTTGTCTTTTTTGCAAGTTGATGCATCAAAGCAGGCACAGTTTGTGATCTGACTTTAGTAGAATGAGTTGCAAGTGAAGCCGCTGAGAGYAGCTTATGGTACAGGCTGCAGGACTGTGTGTGATGTGTGAGTGCAGGGAGAGTGTTAGCGCTCTTCTAGCAAGAAAACAAAGCCTTTTCTATAGCTAGTTAGTTTAATTTTGAAGATAATTTTGAACTAAATAAACTGTTCTCAGGGGAGGTGTTTAGAGTATGAAAAGGATCGGTTGTGGAAGCAGATACACTCTCAGATGCAWTCCTAATTCACAGGCTCTGTATGTGAATAAAGTGTGTGCTCAAAGCCTTGGTGGTCTCTGCCTGTGCAGCCACCCACAGCAGTGGGGTCTGATGTTTCCTGTCCCATTTCTTGGCCCCACAGCCACAGGGGGATGGTGAGGAGCAGCCCCCCTGCAGGATGGGCCTGGCCTGCTCACTAACCCCAGACACTTTCAGTGCATCTGTGGCTCGTGTGTGTCCTGTAGCTGAGGTCTTTCAGTCCAGCAAGTCCAAGTTCTTTCAGTCCAGCACTGTTGTTCCTGCACTGCACTCTTCAGGGCTTGTTCTGAGCCTGCCAGCCGAGGGTTGTGCTGGTGGCTGGCAGCACTGCTCAGCTTGGCCAGGTTTGGGTTTAAATCYTGTGAAGTATGAAGGTGATAGTGRCCCAGGAGGTTGGCAGTGCTTCTCTCCTCGCTGCCTGGCTGTGCTCAGAGAAGGCAGCACTCATCTCTGCTCCTCCACAGAGCCCTGTTTGACTATGACCGGACCCGGGACAGCTGCTTGCCCAGCCAGGGACTCAGCTTCTCCTACGGGGATATCCTGCACGTCATCAATGCCTCCGATGATGAGTGGTGGCAAGCCAGGCTCGTCACACCCCACGGCGAGAGCGAGCAGATCGGGGTCATCCCCAGCAAGAAGAGGTGAGTGTCTTGTCACAGCAGGTTTCACACATGGTGCCCCCTGGATTTCCCCAGCCTCCACAAGTTCTGCAGCCCTCGGGGCACTGCTCAGGCTGGGATCTCCTTGTGGTCCCAGTCCACCTGTGTAACATTCAGGACACCTCAGTTGCAAGCTGGGGCTGTGTGCAGTTCTCCCCAGGGAGGTGTTCTCCAAAGCTGGGTGAGACTCCAGAAGAGGAGGGGAGTGGTCAGCCCTCTCTGGTCCCTGTGGCGATGGAGAGTTGGTGTTGGCCAGTCTGGGGCTCCACATGAAAGCAGAGTCACAGCAGTCACTGTGGGCTGCTCCTTGTGTCCTTTGTTAATTTGCCCAGCTCGGCAGCCAGGTCCCACTGGGAGGTGGGAAGTCACAGGGAGCAGAGGAGCTGGCTGCTGCTCTCTTCAGATCTGCAGAGCCAGCCTCTAGTCTGTCCTCTGTCCCTGCTGGGAAGGCTGGCTTGCCTCCCTCCTGTCCTGCTGCAGCAGGCACTGGCCTGGGCCAGACCCTGGGCAGGCAGCTCCACATCTGCCCCTCCCTGGGAAGAGCTGCCCTTTGCCAGTGGGGCCACCACCAAAGGGTGCCTGGAGCTGCCTGAGGGCTAGCAACATGCATGGGACTAGCAACTCTTTCTCTGCTTCTGATCAGGGTGGAAAAGAAGGAGAGAGCACGGTTGAAAACAGTGAAGTTCCACGCCAGGACTGGCATGATTGAGTCCAACAGGGTAAGTGCTGATCTGGGGCTCAGTGGGGCACCTGGAGCTGGTAACTAGGGAGGGCAGGGTGAGTCCCAGCAGCAAAAGCTCCTCATGGGGCAGCTCAAACAATGGAAAGGCAAAGAGCTGTGTGACTGAACCTGCCTCAGGCCCACATCTGCTTGGCACAAACCCTCCATAAATATTCAGYGATTGAGCAGAGGAGCCCAGGATGGTGTGAAAATGCTGGGGAAGGACCCCTGGCTGGAGTGCTGGGGTGGCAGAGCCTGTGGCTAGGAGCTGCCTGCAGGCAGTTGGTGAAGGCAGCTGCCCTCACAGCTCACGAGCAGTGCTTAACATGCCAACAAGGAAGGAAGAGCGGCCTGGCTACCCCTGCAGAGCTGCTGACTGCCCCATCAGCTTCCCAGCATCCCTACCACATGTTTTTCTCCATGCTTAATTTTTTTCCTGCATTACAGTTCTCATGTAATCTCCATGATTTCGAGGGTGACTGCCCTGACACAGCTCCTCATTGTCTCTTCATTTTAATTTTCCCCACATGTGTTAAACACCATTGTTTTTTCTGTCCTCCCTTCCATCTCCATGTTCTTCAGTCGATCAAAACGAAACGTAAAAAGAGTTTYCGTCTCTCTCGAAAGTTTCCATTTTACAAGAGCAAAGAGAACCTGGCCCAGGAGAGCAGCGGACAGGAACGTAAGTAGCAGCTGGCCAGAGAGGGCAAGCCTGCGACCTTCAGGTCCTCTGCCCTGAGGGGAGAGATTCAGCACATTTCCATAGCCAGGGGTTCTGCCTGGATTCATCTTTGTGCTCCACAGTCGTGCCAGCAGCTAGGGAGAAACCGGAGCTTGGACCAAAAGCAACGGCTGCAGGCTGGCACTCTTCCTTCCTCTCATGTTCAATGTCTTCATCTTTCCATCCAACTTTACACCCACCTGACTCCCTGCTCTGCCTCCCCCTGCTCTCCCCCTTTGCTGCAGGCTCTGCTCCCTCTCTCTGCCTTCTTCCCTCCAAGCGAGGGGCTGGCTGCCTCCTGCAGAGCTTCTCCTGWCCCTCTCAGGGCTGAGGGCTGGGGAGGTCACAGCTCCATCTTCCCTAGAAGAGCATACAGCTCCACATTCCCACTGGAGAGCCCTTCCAGCAGAGTAAACCCTGTGGACACGGGTGAGCCATGGCCCTGCTGCCCACCCATGACTGAGGCACATCTTTGGTAGTTGGCTGCAGATGTTGGGGGTCCACAGCTCTCGCCATCCTGAGACTCCCAGCTAAGGCAGGGCATTCAGCTGGTTGCCCCAAATCCTGATGTGAGCAACACTTTAGCTGCTCACGAAACCCAACCCCTCCTCTGAGTGGTGAAATGCATCCACTCCTTTGGCAAGCACCCAGACTGGCAGCGCTCACAGCTCTGGAAAGGGGCGGTGGACAAGGCAGGGCTGTGCCTGTGCCCAGTGCCAGCGCAGCAAACACGTCCCCTCCCCTCTGGGGCTGTCCTGGGTGTCACAGAGGCAGGAGGTTTCTGCTGGGCTGCTCCAAGGGCTGCCTGCATCCTTCTGCTGCCCAGGCTGGTGCTAGCTTCCAGTGACTCTAGCTGACAGCACAAGCCTCTGGCCCATGCTKAAGGCTGTCTGTGTCTAGGAGTGCCTGGACACGGCTGGGCTCCTGTCAGCTCCATGCTGAAGCTGGGGCCTTGCTTTTGGCTGGTCCTGCAGTGAGGTGACACAGCCTGAGGATGGGGCAGGCTCTCTTTACTGGCCAGTGTTACAGCCAGCTCCCTCCCTGTGCTCTGCCACCGTCCATCCCAGCTTGCAGTGGGGGGTCTGTGCCTCACATTGGGGCAGCTGACACACACACATACACGGGGAGTTGTGCTGTGTGTTATAGGGCTGTCTGTGCTGTGCCTGGCCCCAGAGTGTCCAGGCTGGGCAGGGGAAGCACAGAGCGACTGTCAGTGCACTCCACGAGGAGAAACACTTCAGCCCCTGTGCCAGCAGCTCAGGGCTGCAACTGCTTGGTGCTGGCCAATGCTGCTGTGGCTGCCCTGCCCTCCCCAGACCCAGGGTGGCTCTTGGGGGCTCTGTGGCAGAGAGGGTGAGCTCGGGGGGCGGAAGGGGTCCAGCCATGCAAGGAAAGACATTGGCAGCGGGCTGATGGTGTCAGTTCCAAAAACATTTAACCTCACTTGCAGTTGCAGCTCTGGGCCGTTCTGCACTCCTGTCACTAATGCTGGTCTGGCTCTGTCTCCCCCATCCCTCTGACTCCCCTTTCCTGCGCTGTCTTCTCTCCCCCTCTCCCCCTTCTTGCTGTCTGTGAAATCAGGACTTCCCTGGGTTAAGTGACGATTATTATGGAGCAAAGAACCTGAGTAAGTTGAATTCCAATGCACATTGTTCCCTTTCTGTGGCTGTTGGTGCCTGGGGAATGGCTGGGCTCTGGCCGGGGCAGCTGTGCTTCCCTGGSTGCGGGGCAGGAGGAGCCCACGAGTGCCAGCGGAGGCTGCGGGGCTTGAGGTGCCACTGCTGCACGTGGGACGGGATGGGGGAGCTTGTGTGGGGTGCTGGCCGTGCCCTAAGTGCCTGCTGCACCCGGGGTGAGCTGTACCTCCTCATCCTCTTCCTGCTCCTGTCTGGGTTSGTTGCTGCTTTAGCATTCAGGGCCTCTGCCAGTGGGGGTGGGAAGTGGCCGTGACAGGCCTGCTCTGAATGGGGTGGGTCACAACATTCTGAGGTGTTGCCACCTTTCTCTGGGTTACCACATATCCAGTACTGCAGAATACTGACAGGAGCCCCATGGTCTTCTCAGCTGGGGCATGAGTTCCCTGCCAAGTGCAGAGCCTGACTGGGGCAGGCAGCGGCCAGCAAGCCTCGGTGGGGTGGTCGCAGCACTAGGATCAGCCTGAGCAAGCAAAGCCCCAAACTCTGTCCCATCCTGTCACTGTCTCGTCTCTGTGCGTCCCAGCCCCATCCCCAGAGGCAGGCTCMCCCCTCCCCGTGCCGGCGCAGAGCCGTGCCCTCCCCTGCCCGCTGTGCATGCTGCACCTGCTCCCCTGCCAGCATCCTCCTCCCTGTGCACTCCACCTTCCCTCGGCCTGGGAAGCCCAGTGCCCTCACCTCTGCCAGGCAGGCCCTCCTGGCATCCCTGTCTGCTCCTGGAAGCATCGCCCTGCATGTCCCCGGGTTCCCAGCAAAGGGTGAACGGTGCCGCCCTTGCCCACTGGCACAGACTCATCCCGGTGGGTGCTGGGCTGCAGGCTTTTCGGGAGCCCAGAGCTGTCCTGCCCTTGGTCAGTTGCTGGGTGACAGCCGCGGTGCCCCCGTGCCTCCCGCCCATGCTCCTTCTGAAGGGGATCTCTCTGGTTGCTTTGCAGAGGGCGTGACATCAAACACCAGTGACAGCGAGAGCAGTTCCAGTAAGTGTGTGTCCACCTGCTCTCCCACCCCGTGTGCGTGTGTGCGTCCCTGTGTGAGTGCATGTTTTGGCACTTCCATCTCGTTTTGTCCCAGTGGTGGTTCTGTTCGGAGGCTGGTCCTTCCTGCTGGTGACACTGAGGTGCTGCGGTCAGCTCCCTCCTCGGAGCCAGGGAGAGCAGGGGCTGGGGAGCAGGAGTGAGCCTGCCTGCCTCACTGCTCTCTCCTGGCTGCAGGGCTCTGCTCCAAGGCGGGGTGGTGGCTCCCCAGTCCATGGGAATCCTCAGTGCCTGCTACAGGAAGCGATGGCCAGAGGCCAGGTCTGTAGCACAGGTGGCTCCTGGAGCCCAAGCCTGTACAAGAGCATGGGATCCAGCTGCAGCAGATGCTCTCTTTGTCCCCAGAAAGTCCTAAAAATACCTGCAGGGAGGACACTACATCCCAAAGGGCTGGGAGCCTGCAGCGGTGGGGGAGGGAAAGAGGAGGCTTGACCCAGAGCTGGGACATGAATAATTGAAGTGGCTCAAGGGCTGTAGCTGCATGCCCATCATGCTTCATGTCCGTGGGTGGAGTGATGGGGACAGCCTGGAGTGTCCACAGAGCTGTGGTAGGCTGGAGGGGCAGGAGCCAGCTCCTCACAGCTGCAGAGGGGCTGGAGAGCTGCTGCAAGTGCTCACCTAYATCCCCCTGGCTCTGTTACAGAAGGACAAGAGGACACCATCCTGTCGTACGAGCCAGTGACGCGGCAAGAAAGTAAGTCCTGAGCTGAGCTGCCCCGTGCCCGCTGCAGCGTGGCACTTGTGTCCCCAGCACAGCCAGGGCGTGCGGTGTGCCCTCCCCTCCTGCCATAGCAGCATGGCACAGGGTGGGTGCTGGTGGARTCTGCTGTGTTGTGTGCAGCAGGGGAGCCAGGTGTGCACGGCTTTCCCTGGCCTCCACTGCCCCCTTTTAATCGACAGAAAAGATTTGTGTCATGGTCTGCAAGACCAAGGGAGAGATCCAGAGCTAAAACTGAGCTGGGCTTTAGTCCTCGGCTGAGGACAGGATTATCCCTTCCTGCCTCAGACCAGGTCCCTGCTGCAGAGCAATCTTCCCTGCCCCAGCCCTCGGCCTTTAACCCTGCCTGATGCTCAATCCCTGCAGACCCTTTGGCAGGCTGAATAGTCCCAGTCTGGGTGGTCTGTCCTTGCCAGAAGCTGGATCTGACTCTTAGGCTCCCGTCACTCCCCCAGCKCCGTGGCATCCTCGCCCAGCTGTCCTGGTTGCCTGGCTCCTGCCCCAAGCAAGGGAGCAGCTTTGCTGATCCRCGACCCTGGAGACCTGCAGAACCTTCCCCGGGGCCACGCAGATGGTTTGGGTCAGATGGGAAGGACATGTTGACCGTGACCAGGAGGAGATAAACTCGCACGGAGGAGGCACCTTGGGGTGCCCATGTGAGCAAGAGCACCCACTGGCAGCAGGGAGAGGGCAGGTCGATGGCAATAGCGACTCTAGGGTCAGCTGCCCGCAGCACAGGTGGGGCCTCAGGTTGTGGCTCTTGTTCACAGTTCACTACGCGAGGCCGGTGATCATCCTGGGGCCGACAAAGGACCGAATTAACGATGACCTCATCTCTGAATTCCCACACAAGTTTGGTTCCTGCGTGCCCCGTAAGTCCCAGCCGGCGCTTGGTGCCCTTGCTGGAGGGAGGGGAGAGGTGGCCCTGCTCCTGGCAGGGTCTGGCCACGGTGTGGGGAGGGGGCTGGGAGCTGGGTGGGTTTGCTCCCTCCCGGTGTGCTGGGCATCGCTCCGGGCTCACCCTTGATGCCCACTCTCCTGCAGACACCACCAGGCCTCGGCGCGACAATGAGGTGGATGGGCAGGATTACCACTTCGTYGTATCCCGGGAACAGATGGAGAAAGACATCCAGGACAACAAATTCATAGAGGCTGGGCAGTTCAATGACAATCTCTATGGGACCAGCATTCAGTCAGTGCGAGCGGTGGCAGAGAGGGTGAGTGTCAGGTTGGTGTTCCAGGGACAGGGACGCATCCAGCCTGAGCCCACACACATTCAGCAGTTCCTCTCTTCTCCCTGTGCTGTTAATGAAGGGCTGTAACCACATTAAGCAAGCACGGCATGAGCCTCTCCTCCCTCCAGAGTCCTGCCAAGCCRTGTGGCTGTTTTTCTCAGCTCTTATTCTACCTCAGCATGGTACCTCTGTCATCCAAACTCCACCCAAAAACCCAGCACTGGTGGCCCAGCCTTGTGCTCGGGAGCTCATAGGACGACGGTGCCCAGGTGCCCTCAAAGAGCACCGTTCCTCTGGAGGAGTCCTGGAGTTACCCAGGGCTTGTAAATAGTTTCACATGCCCAGACAATGCAGTTCCTTTGCATTGCTGCTGTCCTGCCCTGAGCAAGCAGGATTGTGAGGCCATTGGGAGCTGGCTTGTGTCTCAGAGCTGGGGTTTCATTTCTGTGGCTCCTCCCTTTTTAAGCACATCTGTGTGAGCAAGCTGTTTCCCACACGGAGTAGACTGTGTGGGTAGGTCTGATCCTGACTGTGTCCTTTGCAGGGGAAGCACTGCATCCTGGATGTGTCTGGCAATGCCATCAAGAGGTTGCGGCAAGCACAACTTTATCCCATTGCCATTTTCATCAAACCAAAATCCATTGAAGCCCTCATGTAAGTGCAGCACTGTATGCTGTGCCTCTCCAGCTGCTTGTCCTGCTGCTCCTGGCCCTGGGTAGTGCAGGCTGGAAAGGATGTGAGAGCTGAGCTTGCAACTCTCCTGAGCAGCTGCAGCAGCAGCAGAGAATATTATGTGTGAGGAGATTCAACAGCCTGAGACTGACCCTGAGATCAGAAGAAATTCTGCTGGCACTAAAGGGCCTGGGAAAACCTTTCTTAAGCCAGAAGGGGTCAAATTGTTTATTTCTGTGTTTGATGAAGATGAGAAAACCTAGACAAGGAGGGTGGTGACAGGTTCTAGAAAAGCAGGGAAACTTCTGCAGGGGTATTGCAARTTTATGGAATTGTCTGGATTTGAATTAATTTCTGTGCTGTGGTGAAGAGGGGTGGGGTAGGTGGAAGTGGGAATAACTGTTGGAAGTTAAGATCAGTGCCAAGGCAGCCCAGAGGCTGTGGGGAAGGGCCCTGCTTGAGAGCTGGGTCCTGCACAGCTTCCACTCCTGTGAGCAGAGGATTCCCAGGCACCCTGGCTCTGTGGGCTATTTTTGCTTCTGTCCACAGCTAAGAAAAAGAGCTGAAAAGTTTCTATTTTTTGTGCATGGCAGGGAGATGAACCGGAGACAGACGTACGAACAGGCCAACAAGGTCTTTGACAAAGCCATGAAACTTGAGCAAGAGTTTGGAGAATATTTTACAGGTGAGTGTCCTGAACAGGCTTGTATCTGATTTACTTCATTTTTCCATCCCGCAGCTGTGACCTCTCTACCAGCACTGTCCTACYGCAGGGTCATGGGAAAACGTCCAGCTTCATCAAAGCAAAAAAGAAATGGCACTTTGCCAGGAGGGCTCTGCAAGGGGACTGCTCCAGGAGCAGTGGATAGGAGTAAACCAATTGAAGGGAAYGAGACAAGTTGTCAGGCAGGATTTTCTGAGTTTGTGAAAGCTTATCGCCAACTTTAATAAAAAATCCAAAAATCCCCAGACTAAAATTCCCCCAGGGGAAGCACAGGGTTTCAGAGTGCTACAAGTCTACAGGAAGTAAACTCCCTGCATGGGAGAAAAGGGGAGCATTTTCAAAAAGAGAAGTTTCTAAAGAGGGAAGATAAAAAATTAGTGACCTAAATGATGGASACAGTCCTGAGTTATTACAAAACATCTACGAAAAAAGACTGGAAGTTTGGCTGGCTTCCTAAGTAGTCTTTGCTGAAGAGCCAGCCAGGGGCTGCTGGCACTTTGTGCCTGCTGAGATGAGCTGCTCATGGCACAGGCATCCTTGTGCATTAAGAAACTAATGTTTGTAACATGATTAATTCTGGAAAACCACAGGCAGGTGAAGAGGCAGAGGAACTGGTCTTCCATCTTTTCTCCAGTGCAGTAGCTGTTTCTTCTTAAGTTGAGGAGTGATAAAGTTGCCAAACTCTATTACCCATCTAACAGCTACTGGGAAAAACCCCAAGCAGKATGTTCTCCAAAAATTGATTTCAGCTGGGCAAATATTTGGGTACAAAGAGGGTGAGCTTTCCCCAGCCCTCCTGTCCTGGGCAGCAGCTCCAGAGCTGCTGGCTGCTCCTCCAGGAAGGCATGCCACAGTTTTGCAGGCCCTCAATGTGCCACTGTGCACTTGGAGGRTGAGTTTGATGTTGATCTGGGAAAGGAATGCTGTCAGTTGAAACGTGCTGAAAGAACTGGGTGATGGGCAGAGAGATGGTCCCTGTCGCAGGTTCTGGGCAGCAGCTTAGAGTGAGGAGCAGAGATGCTGGAGGATGGTCCTGCCTGGGTTACAGAGGCAGGCTGGGTTAGCAGAGACCTTTGGCCCTTCCTGTGCTGTGAGGAGCGCAGTGCAGTGCCTCGTGCAGTGTCTGTGTGAGCAGCAGGACTGGGCAGGAGCTGTGGCTGCACTCTGGCCTTACCCAGCCTGGCAGAGCCGTGCTCCCACCCCAGGGAAACAAAGCAGAGGGAGCAGCGAGYGAGAGGAGCCCTCAGCAGCCAGCCAGAAGGACAGCCCGAGGGAGGGGACAAAGCTGGCACCCGGGGAGGTGCTTGGTGTGCCCCAGCTGAGCCACCCCAGCCCTGCCTTCCCCGAGTCCGGTTCAGCGCAGCCGTGGCRGTGCCAGGCCCGGCCGCAGCCCCAGCGCGGTGCCTGACACAGTTTGCAAAGCTGATTAACAGCCTGGTGTGGGGAGCCCGGGCAGCCCTGCACACACCCAGCAGCTCTGCCAGCCAGGATCAGCGCTGCCTAATCCCTGCCGAGGTGCTGCTTTAACCCTGTGTGGCTCTGGCCCCGCTGCAGCTGCTCTGGGTCAGTCCCCTCGGGCCAAGGCTCTCCYGTAACTCATGGCGGCGCTGCCTGCTGCTCAAGGCCTTGCTTGTTTTCTCCTCTTCCAGCCATCGTACAAGGAGACTCTCTTGAAGAAATTTACAGCAAAATCAAACAGATCATTGAGGACCAGTCCGGGCACTACATCTGGGTCCCATCCCCAGAGAAACTCTGAAGATGTCTCCCACCTGCTTCCCTGTGAGCAGAAGATCTCTGAAGTCTCACCCATCCAAGCCCTCTGCCCTGAGGGGGAGGGATATGAAAACTATTCCTGCTCCCTTTTTTAGATCGTCGCAAAATTGAGTTTTCTAGTCCTGTATCTTTTGTTGGGATGAACTCATATCATTCATCATGTGACTGTTCCCACCATTCCTGCATGGACCTTCCCACTGCTCCATTAGAGACAGATGAGAACCCATTCAAGGTCGTTTTTTTATTATTATTATTATATTATTATTATTATTATTATTAACTAAACAAAGAATCAAGATGGGAGAAAGCGGCTAAGGACTAATGTAAGAAAACAAGTGAAACAATGGACTCTGAACACATGAACTGGTATCAGAGCTCCAGGGGCATTTCTCCAAGTGTGACTGTCTAGCAGCTCTGAACAGTGCGACATGGGCAGCAGAAAGCATTTTATTTATCTGTATATGTAATTTATATATAATATAGAGAGAGATATTATATATATATTATATATATATATATGTATGTGGACTAGGAAATCTGAGGGACCTCTCTGAGAAGGTGTTGTATTATTGCAAGGTTCTTTCAGTTCCTCTGTCCCAACCACTCGGCRTAGGGAGTCCACTTGGGCAGGAAGAGCTCAAAACGGTACCAGGTGCTTTGGAAATGTCTCCCACCCAGGCCAGTTCCCTGCAGCCCCCCTGGGCCTGAGGCAGGGCAGAGACTGGTACTGCCTGTGCAGGAGGGACCAGAGCAAGGAGCAGCAGCTGGCCTGAGCGAGGCTGGGAGACAGAGACTGAGCAGGAGGCTGCGGAGCAAGAGAATGGATGATGCTACATATTAAATTGCACATTGTTTTACACACCACCTTATGTGTTTGCATGAGAGGTTTCCTTTTGGTTCTATTTTTTTAAGCTGATTTTAAACCAAAACCATATTGTGTTGTTGTGTTTGCTTTTTTAATTATTATTATTATTATTATTATTACTATTATTATTTCATTTTTCTCTTGTTAATGATGAACTGAATGGGTATAAAATCCAGTTTTTTAACTTATTTTTTAAACTGGCTCTATTGTAAATAGAATCTAGATCTGTGGTGTTTAGTTGAGAAATACTTTACCGGCCACATGGAACAAATGTACTCACTGTCCTGTGTTGCTGTGAAAAACCTGGGATGTTGGACTGGCCCTGTACCTGTGGGTGCAGGTGGAATGACCCATTATGGCTTGTGGCAGCACACTGGCATTCCCTTCTGCATTAGCCACTGGCAGGAAAAGTCCCCAGCTGTGCCTTGGATGGACACTCACATTTTCCAGATCAGTAACAGAATTGAAAAACTTCCTCTGTTCCCTGCTCCATGTGGAATGCCYGGCTCTGCTGGCTGCAGGTGCCGGGGGTGGCTCTTCCCGTGAGGGGCCGTCCTTCCAGCAGAGCAGGACCTCGCCTGTCACACCAGGAGCTGAGGCTTGGCAGGTGCCTCTGTGAATCCTGTTGCTGAAGGATTGCTCTGTGCTCCCTCCCTCAAATCCTGTTGCTGAAGGATTGCTCTGTGCTCCCTCCCTCAAATCCTGTTGCTGAAGGATTGCTCTGTGCTCCCTCTCTCAGGGCCACCCCAGAGYRCCCAAGCGGTGCCACAGCTCGCAGGCTGAGGGCAGGGGGTGCAGAGCTGCCCCAGCRCTGGGCACTGSCATTTTTCAAGAGAGGAGACTGTTGGCAGCGAGACACTTGGCCCTAAGCTGAGACTTGTCTGCTTTTGAGGACACTGTGGCTCCCGTGCCTGAGGGGGCTCCAGCGTGGGAATAGAGCCTTGTGTGAAGCTGGGGGACACTCGTGTGGCCTTTGAGGAGTGTGTGCTGGGTACTCAGTCAGGTACGAGTGCTCCCACCCTCCAGAGAGCTGGTGGATGCTGTTCCACACCAATGTGTGACCACAACACAGGAGGTCACTGTCCAAGCACGAGCAGGTAAGTCTTCTCCTCCCGCTGTTGGACAGGGACAAGCTGTGGTCCCCTGTCCCCAAGGCCATGGTTGGCAGTGTCGGTCAATGCCCAGCGCCCACCCACGGCCACCAGTGTGAGCGAGAGCTGCTGTCACACTGCCCATGTGCTGCCTGGGGAGAAGCTTCCTCTGCCCGTGCTGCATCCCAAGGAGCCCTGCAGGGACCRAGCAGCTTCTGGGGACAGGACACAGCGCTGCAGGAGAGACACAGCTGTGAGCATGGTGGAGGCAGAAGGATTCTGCTGTCGGTGGGACCGACCCTAAAGGAGCACACAGAACTTTGGCAATGGATTCCTGTCGGGCAGCCAGCCCCCTGCCCCGCTGGTCCTGCTCCAGCTGCTATAAATGTCGGTCCCCRAAGAAGTGGAGTAAGTGAAACAAAAGTCCTTAAGGTGCTAGTCACACATTCCTATCTTTTTTTGTCTATTTTTTTTTTCTGTTTTTTTCCTAATAGCCTGTCTCCCTCTATCAAGTCACGTGGAGAAAAAGCTGATGTACTCCATGGCATAGCTGACAGTAYCGAATCAATCATGACAACAGTAGTTGATTACCAGTGTTTCTTCCAAGGAGACATATATTTTTAATAAACAGAGAGTTGCAAAGAACTCTTGTCTTTGAGACCTTCTTGTAGAGTCCTTCATTGTGTACCAGATCTGTTTTCTTTAGTGCTGATCTTAGTAACTCATGATACCRTCTATGGCAAAGTGAAGTGTTGACAGTGGTTTAGAAAAAAAAAAATGCATTTTTTAGAATAAAAGGTGGTGCCTGAGAATTTGCCTAGTGGAAAAAGGAAATCTAAAAAAAATTTTGAAAATAAAAGAGAAAATAAAAGAAAGGAAGTGGACTTATTTAGAGCTTTAACCCAGCCACAAAAAAGTGCTTTTTTGTTGGGTTGTTTTAACACAGGTTAAGTCTGGCGTGATGACACCATAAATGTATTTTAGGTCATGGCTTAAATTGTGGAGAGGTTGCTTTACAAATAATAGGGTTTATTATGTGCTGCTACATAATTGTTCTTGGATATAAAGACAGCAAAGAAAATACATAGTTCAGCTAATACAGAGCTTCTTTTTACAGTTTTGACATGCTGTTTAAATATCAGAGAGAAGAAAAGTTGTAAAGACAACTTGTATAATTCTTTGTACCTTCAAGTGCAGAGAAAAGGAGTGTTCACTGGAAGACAAATGTGGTTAAAGGAGTGTCACAGGACTTTTGTGCCTGAATCTGCTTTGTCATTTAGCTGAACTGACAGAAAGGTGGTTTGGTTTTTAAATACTAAATTTCTTTTTTTATTTTCAAACTGCACAGAGAAGCAAATTGAGATTTCAAGGGACCAAGGATGTTGTACCAACTGAGCATGAGCACTCAGTTTGCTGACTGTTCAGTTKGTGAAGCTCACTGGACAAATTAAAAACCATTCAGAAACTCCTTTAATTGATCAGATCAACAGCCTGGTGATGGTGGTTGTCCACAAAACACCAGAAGATTAAGCAGTTGCTAAGCAGATCTGATGCTAGAATTACCACTCTCAAAAACCAAACTGTTTGCTTGCATAATGCCGGATTTGGAGTGATGAAGCAGCACAGAGACATTGTCTGTTGCTGGCTGCTCTGCCCAGGCCGGGGTTGGTTCCAGGAACGCGGAGCTGCAGCGTGTGCGGCTGCAGACACTCCTCCCGTGGCAAACCAGGATGTGTCCTGAGCTCATGTGTCATCTCGATCTGCTGTGACAGGGAAACATTCAGGTTCTGGCAGGGAGAGGAACACGGGGTTATGTTCTCAAATAAACCTTGTCACTCCTGTAAGGTAGAAAAACCCCTGGAAGAGAAACCAGCATGTGAAGAGAAMGAGGGTGGCATGAAGAAGGAACTTGCTCTGTTAAAGCCATAGCAACCTATTTTTCTGGACAAATTGCTCTGTCTACATTAGCAAAGTCCTGGCCCAGACAACAGCAGAGCATTGCCCTGATAATGGTCCTGTCTAGCTGTGAAATGTAGGAGCTGGTTCTTTTTCTCTCTCAAGATGTCCGGCTCCAGCTGCCTGCAACAGGCATGCAACTAATCTGCCCTAAGACACTTGTAGAAAATTAGACTGTAAGCTGCTTGTGCTGCAGAGAAACATGTCTGTGCTTCTGTCTGCAGCTCTGGATAATTAACTGTCTCAATTACGTAGAGTAGCACAGGATTCATGAGGCTACTGGAAGATGGGCTTTAAAGGAATTTAATTATAATTTTCTCCAAAATTTTCTTCCCATCGATGGAGCTGCCTTAGATATGCCTGCTGTTGCTAATGAAGCTTGGCAGCACAATCTTTAAGGACTGCTGTTCTCTGCTTTCCTCAGGCTGCCACAGCAGGATTCATGGCACTGAAGCATCTGCTGTGAGCCAGGTAAAGTTATCATCGTGTCAAAGATGTCTCTTTCCTTCAAGATTTCTTGGGTCCACCTTGACCTTCAGTGTCAAAATTGCCTCCAAAATTAGGGTCACCGGTTTACCTTTAGGGTTTTTAACCCTAAGGAAAAACATTACACATTGTTTGGTCATTCAGTGCAGCATTTCTTAATGGTACAAGCACATGGGAGCACTTGTGGGACTTGCAATACCTGGTTGGGGCCACACTTGACTCAGCACGGGGGTGACTGTGGTATTTCCTCCCCCAGTTCCAATGCCCTGCGTGACAAAAGCTTTGCCCAATCCTCTAATGAGCTTCAGCCCTCTTCCAATTACCTTGATTTCTGATTACTGCGACCACTTCAATTTTAAGCGTCAGGGGCCAGGCTAGCCCCTCTTTCTTTCCTGCCYCTCCCTAGTGCTCAGTGCAGCCACAACAGTGGGAGCAAAGCTCTTCCCACACTGGTGGGAGGTGCACCTTCACTGGAGAGCAGCTGGAGAGGCACTGCTCCTGCTGCAGGTGCCTCGGGGTGAGAGGTGCTAGCAGGAGCTCCTGGGCTCAGCAGCTGAGCTGAGGTGTCTTCCCTACCCTGCCCCATTCCCAGACTCAGCAAGGCCTTTTTTTTTTTTTTTTTTCCTGGGCAGGCTCCCTGCAGCCACAATGCCATCAATCCCATATGGTCGGTTTAGAAACGCCCCCTCCCTGGACCCATTCTCCAATTCACACTGCAATTCCCGTGTGCCTCTGCACTGTTGCTCCTCCCCAAACGCTTAAGAAGTTATCAGATTAGGGTAAAAAAGACAGGCTGGGGGAAAGGGGAGAAATTTGTGACCTCCTGCCCTAGAGGATCCATTTGTGTTCTCAGAAGCAGAGAGGACTCTGCAGTTACAGAACCATGGTTCAGCACACCCTGTAGCTTCCACAGGGTGTAAATAGGAAACTACTGCTGCAATGCCACCCTCTGGAGCCATCTGTGCACATCCAGGGATGAGCACACCGGCTCTCGGAGCTGAAAGGAAACACGGATCAGTAAAAAGATAAAGACCGAAAGAGGAATGAACAGCACTATTTTCTCTTTACAGGTCAGCTGTTGCTAATTTAAAAAGATTTATAACCCACAGTCACCCTGGATGGGCTACTGAACTTAAAGCAACATTTAACCGAGTAAAATCACCTGGACCAGCAAACACCTGCAAAGGCATGATTGCACACAAAGGACCTGCTGGGGACAGCCACTGGAAATGCAACTAATTACAGTCTGATTCAACTAGGAGATGAATTCTTGCCCTACTTAAAACTCTTTGGTAAATACTAAGCCTGGAATAAAATGTACTGKGTAAAAATGTGCAGGAAGAGATGAGTACTATCAGCAGGGTCTGTAACTTATCTGATCTGGGCTCCTCACGGCTGTCTGTAGCACAAAAGAAATCAAACTCAGTATCTCCAAGGAAAAATTCAAACCATTTTGGCTGTAGGCAAACCCACATTTAGTGCTTGCTGCCTTCTACAGCTGTGTGTAATTACCTCCTTACACTTGCTGGGCAAATGTGACCTTTCTCATCAGGTACAGTGTGACACCTTTACCTGTTTATGTGTGTGTGCAAGTCAGAACTGAGAGCAGTAATTAAAGCCAGCCTGGCAGGCTCTAAGGAGACGCTGCAGGCAGGATGGATACCTTTGAGCTTGTGGCATTGTTTACAGTCTCCCACTGATGTGATGCAGCATGGATTTCCAAAATCGTGACTCCAGAATAATTTTCTGTGGCATTTGAGATGTGGATTTTTATGGATTCAAAGGTATTTCTTAGTTAAACAGGCAGCACACTGTGCTTTCAGATCTCTAAAGCAGTGTCTCATAGARACACAAACTACATCTGATGATTAAGTTCACCATGAAATGGAGAATTTACACTGAACAGATCCATCCTCCTGTTAAAGARCTCTCCTGTGTGACCCTTCAGGTGCCACTCCTGGGGTCACAGTCACACCACCCCAGACTGTCACTGCTRGGATYGAAGCCCCTTTGCAGTGGCAGCTCCAGTGGCCCAACAGGTCCTCATTTGGCTCCCTGCACACCCCACACTCATACAGACAGGATTCCTCACTGGCTCAATCCCAGGTTTCCATCAGCCAAATCCCAGACACGTGGTCAGGCTGACTTGCTGAGCACCTGCCTGGCCCAGGGTTCAGTGAGCTGGAAGGGAGGACTGCAGCCCTCACAGCAGCRCCAAGTGAGAGCTTCAGCTTTTTCCCTGAGCTCGGTAGTGCTGTTTTTTTTCTATTCCAACTGACTGTCAAGGGGACAAACAGATCTGAGTTCTTGTCCACACTGAAATGGACTGGAAACTAAACAATCTATTAAATATTTATGCATCAAGGCAGCTATGACAACCAGAGGAGATGGAATGCTTTTTAAAGACTTTTATAGTGCTCATTGCCATTTACTACTGAAGTCAGATTTTAAACCAACCTGTTACACAACAGCAGAGGCATCTCATGAAAAAGTTAAATATTTACTTCTAACTGTTAAATAGCTCCAGAGAATGAAAATTATTCCCTAGAGGAGAACAATTACATTTATTGAATAAACACTTCCTAAAAAGTAGATAACTTCTTTGCCARCAAGAAGGAGATYCTGGTTTCTTTTCCACTGCTCCCATGACCCTGTGCCTTCACAGAGCTAACAGCCTTTTTCATTCAGCAGAACGTTTCTAAGAGAGACTGCTTTCCTTTTCTCGTAGTTGTGGCTGTCATTATTCTTCATTTGGAATAAATCCTTTTGCTCTRTCCAGTTTGTCGAGAACCTCACTATAAAGGCCAATCATCTGGAGAATACAAGCAGCACAGTTGTCAACAAAGATGGATAAAAATGTAACATTCAACAAAGTGACAGGGAACAGAACCAAGGGAATGGGTGGGAGACTACTACCAGCTTCTAAACCTAAAATTTCAGAGTGAATGTAAAGATTTTTGGCACAGGTTAAAACACAACAGTTTAGAAAAAAAACAGATCGGTGCAGCCTAACAAAAGTGATTTGATTTACACTGCCATAAAGCACAGTTTGTATCTGAGTGTTACATCAGTGCACAAACCTATTCCCCAAATCACACAAGCTGGGAGTTGAGGTTGGAAGGGACTTACTATTGTCAATTCTTATTGTCTTAACTGATGCATTTTAAATGGTGTAAGAGTTACAGCCAACCCCTTGATTGCTCAGTTTGTGCACAAGACAATGAATGGTGACACCAGCCAGGCTGCAGTGTGGTGCAATCCTGACAGAGCATCAGCCAAAAGCTGTAGAAAGCAACTTACTTGTGACAGAGTAAGAAAAAGTGTCATTGCAAAGTGTCACCTACAAAGGTGCTAACCTGGACATTTCTCCCTCACAGGAAGTGGCTGAGCTACACCTGAGAAGATGAGCTTTRGTGATTTTCTTCACACCAGCTTAAACCTTGTTCATAAGACATAATACTAGAAACAAAGCTTGAAAGTATTCATACAATAGCTGATTTAAGTAATCTGGTACAGCACCTTGATTTTAGTTAAAGCAGGCAAAAGTACAAGGTTCTCCCATGGCCACAAACAGTCAGAAGTTTATTTCCAGATGCCCATTTACATCATCCTTCCAGTAAAAGAATGTTATGTTATTCTTTCTATTGTCTATCAAAACTTTTCTGACCTCACTTTGAAAAATCTTTTAGTATTAGGCTCCCCCAAAATGTTTAGGTACCATGATTCTCCTGAAACTCTAAAGATCATCAGCAATGGCTTCTTCACCCAGATCCACATCTCAAATTCAGGCCAGCCATCCAATCCCATATCCTCAAATGCCCCCAGGCACACTCACATGGCCTTCATAGCTTTTCTTCAGAGATCCTAAGTGATTGAGGAAACGCATTCCCAATCCACACCACAGCTCAGCTTCCTTGTATTTACCAACAGTATATTGAAATATTCCTGTATTCCAGGCTCTTGTCATCAACCAAAGGATCTCCGTCTCTGGGTAAGCATCCTGAGGTAGCAAACAAGCAGCAGCAGCTCAGCAGAAAATAGAACCTTCACTTTCAAACTGACAAGTCAAGAACGTGTTAGAGTTTAATTTTAGAGYAAGAAAACAGTTGGGTTTTTTTCATCCTAAGTAAAGGGCGAAAAAACCTTTACAAAATCCAAGGAAATTTGTAGTGCAGTTCTAAATATCCAAGAGATATTTCTTTTGAGGTAATTTCAGGGTATCCTTTACTGAAGAAGTCTTACCAGCTCCACATATAACACTATGTAATTTTCATTTTACTAATGATTTTCCTTTCAATGACTAATTTTTTTCAAATATGCTCAGGATCATCTCCCAACCTCTTCATTTCCTGTTCAACTTACTGTGCTGCTGACTACACTCAGAGCATCTTCAAAGTAATCCCACACCTCCTGCAGTACACAGGAATCCAAGTCTGTTAATCCAGTCGGCAAAGAAATGTTAATCAAGCTGTGTAAGCATTTGCTGAGAATTGAAAGAGAGCAAAAGAAGAAATGTTAAATACCATGTGACAAACATTTATTGTTTAGTGTCACACTGAGTTATCTCTCTATGATTGCCAGACAGACATGTCTACCTTGGTGCTTACTACATTCACATTCTTATAGCAGAAACATACATTTTCCTGTATTATATCTCTTTCATACAAAATATGAAAAAACAGAGCCAAGAGCAATAAGCACCTAATTATTTTCATTGCCGGTCTCTACAGTAATACTCAAGGAAAGCCTCAGTATTTCTTAGAGTGCTACACAAGACAGCAAGAAAAAAGTATCTTTTTTAAYTTCACCCACAAGAATGACGTAGGCAGCATCCTCAGAAAATCAGTAACAAATACAGGGCTCTGAAAACAGCTCTGTCTTTCTCAGTGTGAAGTGAGAAAGGCAATATCAACATTTGCCTTTGCCAAGTGCTTACTTCAAGGAACTTGGAAAGAATAACACATAAATATGCTAAATAAATCACATATGTACTATGGCATCAGATCTTACAGATCTCACCTTACAACTCACTGCTTTCTTTTCAAGCCTTAATTTTTCATCATTATCTTTGAAATACCTAGCTCACTACTGCAGAGTAACATTTGAAATTAGCATCTTCCTCACAGAAACAACCACAGACCTCTTCTGGATCCTATTTTCATTTCCCTTCTTCAACAGATTCATTTATTGGAAATAAGACTGTGTCAGAAAATATGCCAAGTAAACAAACTGCAGTTAAAACATCTATTAGAAAATCATCCTTCAGAGGTACATTGGTTGGCCAGCAAGAAGTAGAACCTTGTATATAAACTAAAATTAATTTTTTTTTAAAATGCAGGCTTTATTGCCTGTCAGCATTTCCAGTCACAGGCTCATGGCAAAGCTGTGYGATAACACTAACCTAAATTTCACAGCATCAATGACAGCCTGCTTTCTGTGAAGGTTTAGTGCACTCTTGAGAGCTTTCTTGCACAGTACAGGATACCGAGCTGGAGATTCCATTGCTAGTGCTTCAAAGTAAAAGGAAATAGGGAAGAAAAAAAGATAAATTACTGAAGTCAGACTTCAGTCTCATAGGTCACTAAAATAAACTACAGCATGTTGCCAAACCCCTTGTGAACCAATTGAAAAGATATTTGTTTAATGCCTGGGCTGTTCACAAGCTCATGCTTCTCTCCCTCTTTCTTACTGAGCACATTATCAATGAGGACAACAAGGCAGAAGCACAGAAAGTTTTGTAATTCACTGCTGTTTACCTCCAATCCAATAATCCAAAAATATTGTGGTGGAGGGCACTGTCTAAAGACTTTTGTTTGCCTCCTTGAACATTCAAATCCAAATGGGAAATTTAGGCAGGAGCAGGATGTCAGTATGGTGTCTCCAGGCCCAGGAGTGTATTCCCTCAGGACAAGGAGATAAGAAGGAGTTTATGCAATCCTACAGGACACCCTCCAAAGATTTGCCATGATAGCTCTAAATGCTCCTCATCTCTCTTGGATCTTCTCTAGATTCTCAAGGAGGTTTTCATTATTAGGACTTTGTGATGAAATTATGGTAAGTATAGAGAAGTGCTATTTACAAATGGACTATTAAAACTTTARGCTGAAACTTAACCTTGTCTGAGTGGTTTAAATATACTTATAGTATCTATCCAAAATAAACACTCCAGAACTTCTGTACTGGGGCATGAATCAGGAAGGGTCATTCTCTGGCCCTTGCCAGTTTGGAGCTTGTAAAACTTTATCTGAAAAAATCCTTTCCAGACTCACAAGCTATATGAGTGTCTCAGAGTCTAGAAATGGAAAGACATCACAACTTTCTGGTTCCTCATCCAYGTCATATGGTATTTCAAAACACAGCTTTCCTAAGATCCACAGCTTTGCTGAGATCCTAGGCACCTTTGCTTCAGGACAAAATAATACATGGTCAGATCAATTTTCTGCATGTTGTGCAATACATTGTAATCCTGGTCACCTCAAAATAAATGAAAGTTTTGTTTTTGTGACTTGAAGATCTGTAAAAGTCCTTACATGCAATGATTTCTAGTGTCTTGATCTCTATTTGTGGTTGCTCCCAAACTGACTCCATAAGATTGTGAAGTGTTGGATCATTCAGTTTGGATCTTGCTTCAAATTCATAAAGCAGCAACAGTGTGTCTGTCGGGTCTTTAGCAAAATCTCCTATAAAAGAGACAGGATCACCTGTATGTAATGACAAATATTCTCAAAGCCACAGGGTGTACTATAAGGTAAAAATTTTGCTTCCAACAGGCAGGAAAACCATTTAAGATACTCAGATTTAACAGCAGAGCAAGTGGAACTTGCCATTCAAGGAGCACCTAATGGAATTTTTCTACCAATATCCTACCAAATAAAGTGAACTATGCACTGCTAAGTTAACAGTAACATATCAGCTTTTATCATATTGTCATCTATCTGCTCTAATAATCTCTGAGACAGCAATTCCACATACTCTGTATTTTTCATTAATATTGTGACTAAGAGTTATAGGTGCTGAACAGAGACACTGTAGCTTACCTGTTAATTTCAGAACCTTCCATATTTCCTTGCATGTTTGAAGATGTTGAAGGGCCTGACTAAAAAGCTCCGTCTATTTTACAAAGTTTAAAAGGTTATTTTTGTCATATTTTAAAAGCAAAAGGAATACTTATGTCAAAACTAACTATAAAATAAATCAAGAATCAGCCTAGCTAGTAAATCACCCACACCAGTTACTGGGTTTTTTGTTGGTGTTTTTTTTCTCTTTTTCAAAGACCTCCACATGTCAAAGCCACTTCACACTGAACATGTCACTGGTCCAGAAAGAACCATGCATGTTCCTATGCGTCATAATTTTTCTAGTTCCCAAACATAAAATAGTGCTATTGAGACTGACAAAACACTACATGCTACAACACAAGCTGCTGTGCACTGCCCTCCACAGAAAAAAGTTTCTGCTATCACTCTATACCAGACTTCCATACTTCCTTCACAACCACTGTATGTTTTCCTTAATCATCTTACCACAGTAAGCACACTGTCTTCTTCCTCCACACCCCCCCCCCCGCCAAAAAAAAAGGAAAGATGTGTGCATAAAAACAAAAAAAATATTGTGACCTTTATCACAACCACAGTGGCAACTACTTTCAGCAACAGCAGTAATTGTCTTTCTGACTAACCCACACTGAGCAGCAGACTCCTTACAATATATATGTTGTGGATTGAAATTCYTCTAAGAGAATATACTGCCATGACCCTTTACTGATACAAACCCATTGAAATACACTGAACTAATTTACAGAATTCCATTTACAATTGTCTGGAAAGGTGCATTAATTCTAATTAACTACAAAATATTCCTTTGCTTACATTCTCAGAATTCCATTCTAAATTTAAAAAAAAAACAAAACCAAAAACTTTGAAATCAAAAGGAAAAAAATGCTACATTTGTCCATACAGAAACAGTTAACAGGGTTTGCCCTACCTGTTCTGAAGGTGTTACTTTTTGTCTCCCCATTTCCAGATCAACTGCAGCTGCCATTAACAGGCATGTCTTCTGAGCAATTAGAACAGCTTTGTCAGAAGGACAAAACTGGGACAGCTGACACCAAAAATAGGAAAAGGTAATGAGAATTTTACCCATATAAAGCAATTTGCTTGTGAACAGATGATTGCTGACCCTCCTCTATGACACTTGAAGGAATCAGTCATGAGTAGTATATATTCATGTKGCAATTTTACTTGTACAATTACACAAAAGGATTATTTAAATATAAAGTGCAAAGCAGAGTTGGAGTCTCCTCTCTACAAACACATACAAAACTGACAGTGTTGGCAAAAATTCTGGCAAAAATTCTGCATAAAGATTAGGACTCAAGTACTTCAAATGTTTGTATTAATGATACAGTTTCCAAACATCAGAATCCACTTATTTTAGAAACTTCTCATTGAAGTTTTAAATTTCTTATTACATTCTTAAGAAACAGAATGTAAATTATGACAATAATGCACACATTTTGTATTACAAGTCAATCTCCTTGTGACAAAAATATTCCATCTTCAGAGCAAACAAGCATGTCTCCATGGAGATACCCAAACCATGAATGTGACTTCTAAAAAAACTAGACAGATGAAACTATTCCTCAATTAGAGACACAATGAACAAAAGTAAGTACCTTGAAAGACAATACAAAAAAATCCCTCATCTTTGCAGGGCTGTCCTTGAACTGTACAGCTAAGTTCCAAGCTAACAAAGATATAAAAAAATAGAGACTAGAATGAAAATCTGCACTGCTACATGTGTGCACATGTAATCTCTAGCAATAAGAAGTTCACGTTCTGCAATTCTGTTTCTGAATCAATATGTAATCAACAGCTCACTTTACAAAAGCAAGAAATACTGTTATAGTGATTTGTTAAAATACCTTATTCATGCTTTTAAATTTTGCCTTGGTAATTTCATCACAATCAAGTACCCATTTTATGACACGCCCTACTCACAAAAGCATGAACTGGGACAAGCATTTTCTTGTATTAGTTAACCAAGCTAGCAGGAGTGAAAGTGTTGAACAATATTCCCAAGAGAAATAAAAAAGAAAAAGGAAAAAAACCCACAACATCTTGAACCATTCTTCATCTCATCCCAGCAAGGTCAAGTACAGGGCAATTAAGCACACAGTTCTGAGTAGTAAATGGATGAGCATCTAAAGACAATCAAATTACTTATGTATGAGAACTTGACCCAATTAAATATTTAGATTCTACAGCAACTTTCACATTAATTTATTCCATAGAACATGTTTTTGTAGTCTCTGGATTGTTCATCCTGTGAGTGAGAATGCTGTCTTAGAAAGGTCATGGTCACCAGAGATTCCATTCATACTCATGTCACTGCATTTGACCTCTGCATGGTTACATTGTGAGGAGGTGTGCAAAAGCAGATGTCTTCTGATAATGATTGCAACTGTTTTCTCTCCTGTATGCTCTGACAGAAGCAAGGATCTGAAAAATGGGTTCAACCTGTTACCCTAGGCTTACCTATATTTTTGTTGATAGATAGCAAATGCACTAATCCTTTACCAAAACACTGAAACAAAGACTACAAAATGAGGATCCAGAGACAACGCTATGCACAATGCTTAGGGCAGCTCCATGGGAACTGAATCTCCCACTAAAAACCACTTTATCTGCRATAATATTTGCTGTTTAGATTTTACAGTTTGTAGCTCAAAGAAAACTACAGGACTGCTGATTTAAAGGATCTATAAAGACTGAGTAGATTCAGTTGAGGTTTTGAGAGTGCAACCTACCAATTTTTCTAAACCAGTGAGCTTCAAGGATCCTCATGTCCCCTGTAAACTTCTCTTCTGTGAAAGACTCAGCAAGTTTCTTGTGAGCTGCAAAAAAAGTATAATTCAATACAAAAGTACCAGTTTCTGAGCAGAATTCAAACATTTCAAGTCCAATCCCTACACTACAAAACAAAGGCTTCCAAAACTCCCATTTAATTCCTGATGAAGACTTACTCTCACAACTTAAAACTAATATTCTTCACCAGAAAGCCTTATAAAAAACAACAAAAGTTGCTTTGAACAGAATTTTAGAGAAGATGTCAGCAAATATTGSCTCTTCTAAATTTACTGACACTGAAGTCTAATGCAGAGGAGTTTTACTTAATTTCACAAGAAGCCAAGGGGTTTTAAATTTAATTACAGATTTGAGGCCTTTCTTCTAGGAAACTTTTATAAATTTAATTCTACTCTTCAATCTCTTCTACTTGCAGTAGTACTGCCAGCTTTTGTTAGCAAAAACCTGTAGCACTGTGATCAAACTTCACAACACTACTCAATCTCCAGCTTTAGTTTTCATTGATTTCACAGAGAAGTTGGGAGCCTGGACTGAAATAAGGAGTCTAAATATTTCATTGGTATGGACCTAACATTGTGATAAAATGTATGGAAAAACTCCAAAAAATGCAAAAACTAAAACATACCCAAGTTCAAGTAAGTCACTATTGAGTTGATATCTTCATCTCTAAAATGGAGGAAAAAATTAGTTTTAGAAAATTAATTAATTTTTTTCAATAGAACACACTATTTATGTTGGAATATATTTTCCCAGTTGTGGATATATCGATTCTTCTCACTCAACTTCTGAAAGTTACCCCACTAGTGTCAAAGTTAGAGATTGCTTAGCTCACACCCTCCATTAAAAATACCTGAGAGGCATAGGCATTAATCAAAGATGAAGGCAAAGAGCAAATATTTAAAGTAAAGTTTATACAAGTAGAAAATAWGTTCAAAATAATTTGATATTATTAGGTAAAGGTAGAAAGACATCTGGGTGGACTTTTCTAGCACAAAAAATAATCTCYTGATTACTCTGCAAGGAAAAAAAAACAGAAAGAAAACATCACACAATTTGAACAACATATCCACCTTAAGAAAATGGTTTTTCAAACAGACCCACCTTTTCTCTTCATTTTCTGCCATGACTTTTGATAACATCAGACGAACCAAACATCTAAATATGAGAAAAATATGCAATGAAGAAACAAGATTTTTTTTTCAATMGTGTACTTTGCCCTAGTTTTCCTTCTCATGTTTATCCTTGTAAATATATTGAATTCTTACTTCAAGGCTGCAAATAATTGTCGGCAGTCTTTTAAATGTTCAGACAAATACTCCAAAGCTTTGATAGCCACAATTTGTTGGTCACTCTGAAAAGAATTAAAACATGGTTTGTATATACTGCACTACCTCAGTTACCACAAAAAAACCCAAACCAAAACAACAACAAAAACCCAAACAAAAACAAACCCCAGAGCAACAACATATTCCAAGTCTGTGCAGTCTACTAGCAGGAAAAAGAACAAAGGACTATGCACAGAATTGCCTGAGAGTGCACAGAAAACTATAAGGAGAGATCATATGATTCCCTGCACAAAGAGCCTGTGGCAAGAGCAGGACTAGTAGAGGTTGGCAAGGCTTTCATGCCTCACAGGGCTATGAACAAAGCCCTAACAGCCTGAAATGCAATCAGCCAGTTCAGACATCACTCAGGCCACCAACTAAAAGGCAAACAGGAGGGACAACAGACTTTCATTATTGATTTATGTGTATTTTATACACAGGTTYCCCCCCTCACATCAAAGATCAGATCCCAGAGGCAGAAGAAGATATAACTTCTTGCTAAGGAGAATTTTGCAAAAATACACCATGTAATGTCCAGATGCCAACATTCACAACCAGAATTCTGTATCTTCCTGTTGAAATTTTAAAAGATACTACTTCTTTCTATGTGAAATTAATTTCTACTTTGGATTACACAACACATTTGAGTGAGACCTTTGTTATGGAAGCATGAAATACTAAGAAATCCATTAAATACATAGGAGTATTAAAACTAGGCCAGGTTAAAGAGGTTATAGATGTCCTACTTACATCAATAAAGCAAAGTAAATACAACATTATCTGCTCTACCTCTAAAGCAATTTGGGCAGCTAAACTCAAGAGGTTACTGCCTGTATTTTTATCCACTCTCAGTTTGTCTTCATGTTCTGATGGCTTTTCTGCTAGCTTCCCCATTTCAATAATTGCTTCCACAGCTGAAAGATACAGAGAGAAAAAACAATGTTTTCATAGAAGAAATTAGAAGGTGGAAAGTTCTACCGTTTTAATGATTTATGAAAGGCTATAATTTTTTTTAATGAAAAGGCAAGACAAGAAAGCCTGACCATAGCAGCACTTCTCCACAAATATGTATTTCTTGCTAGGGAGGTGCCAGAAAGCTTTCCAAGCTACTAATCTAAGGAAACAAAGATGCCATACAAATGATACTCATCTCACATACTTAATTTTGTTCTGCTAAGTAACAGTTTGTTACCAAAGACAGAAGACTTTCTCTAATACATTTTCTGGGCATCATTCCAAGCTCCCACATCTTGGCTTATGCTACGGGTGCCACTGCTTCTATGCTCACACTGTGCTGTGTTTCCCACTCTATATTATGTGAACAAATTATACTGTCAATAAAAGATGTATGGAGAATAATTAAATGGCAGAGAACTCATTGGAAAATAAGCTCTGCACATTACTCTGTATTCTAAGTAACTATAGACTATATTTCTCAATTTTCATTACTTGAGCTAAGATACTCATTAAAATATGAAAGAGCAGAACTCATTATAAAGAAGAAAGAGGCTACAGAGAAACCACATTCTGTAAGTCATCTCAATAATTCATGTATTTCTTGGTAACTTAAGGCTTCATTTGTCCAGAGAAATTAAGAGCAGCAATAATGGTTCCCTGAAGGTTCATATTGTATACACATACAAAAAAGTACACAGTGATTCTCACCCTGGGATGCCACTATTGCTTCTGCCCACGGGAAGATTATACTCCCTAGCCAGAGGCTCCATCCAAACAATATCAGATATAGCAATGAACTCTGCACTTTACATACTGTGTGCAAAAAAATCCTCTTTTTACAACTTAAATCTACAGCCTGACATTTTCAATGACTTTAGAGACCCTTCTTCTAGCTCTCCTCTACTCTGTCTTGCTCAAGATGAACAGTCCAAAGCTGGTTAGTATTTTTTAATATATTTGACACTTCTGTTCCTTGTAATGGACCCTTTAACTTTCAAGTTCTACCTTTATCAGTATCGTTCTCCATCACTGCAATCTTATAGACACTGAACTTAGTAAAGATGCTGGTTGGATCACACCTCTCTGCTTGTTTAACTGCCTCTTTAGCCTATTCACGGAAGGGAATAAAGGAAATCAGTACAACATCTCCTTGAAATTAGTATATCATTTGCAATAAAAGAGATAAAAAAGATAGACACAATGTTAATGAACATACCATTGATATTTATAAAATTACTCAAGATGTCTGGGCAACAACTGCCCTTGAAAAAAAAGTGATGAGGCCAGAAGACTGCACCAAAGGCTGACCAGAAAGGAAAGAGCCAATTCATCAAAGATAAAAGCAATGCAAATAAATACATAAGCATGTCTACATATGTATTAAATACACCTTGTCAACTTGATTCAGATGAAGATAGCAAGAAGCCATATTCCTCTGCAGCTTAGCCAAGTTCTGATCTATCTGCCCAGGTGTATAGAAGCTGACAGAATAATTGTACCAGTGAAGGGCTTCAGAATAGTTTTTCTCCTAGAAAATATGAAAACAAAATAAAACCCAAACAAACAAGACTATATGGATGATGACGGGAAGACTATGTCTTCCCGTTTTTTAAAGGTCATAGCAAAGATTTAGAAAATCAARCATATTCTAGTGTAACCTCCAGGCTGTTTCAGGTGCAGAATCCAGCACTTGCCTTTGTTAGATTTCATACTGGTGAGTGCCCAGSCCTCTAATTTGTCTAGACACTATGAGAGACATTATCCAAAGCTTTACTGAAATCCAAATAGATTACATCAACTGGCTTCAGCTGATCAACAAGGTGGATGACCTTGCCCTAAAAGAAAATCAAGTTTGACAAGCAGGACTGCCCCCTCATGGACTAGTGCTGGCTGTGACCAATGACTGCATCGTCCTTCAGGTGTTTTTCAAAAACTCCCAGAATAATCTCCATAATTTTACCAGGCACTGAAGTGAGACTGACAGGCCTGTAGTTTCCAGGGTTGTCCTTCTTGCCCTTCTTGAGAACTGGGATATTTTTGCCAGCTTGCAGCCAACTGGGACCTCTCCAGATTCCCAAGACCATTTAATAATCACTATAAGGCCTCACAATGACACCAGCCAGTTCTTTGAGTATCCTTGGATGAATCCCTTCAGGCCCCATAGCCATATAGGAACCAGCTGGAGCAGGAATTCTGGCCATAAATGCTCCCATGCAGAAACCTTAAGATGAGGCTACCTGAAACTTGATTTTGTAATTGAAAACAGCACCCAGATGGATGAAAATAAAGCTAGTGCCAGCTGGAACAAGGCTCTCACTAACAGTTTGCACTCTAACCAAAAATAGACATATCAAAGAGGTCAGAAAAGGATTTTCATTTTCACTGATACAAATAAGAACACTACTGTTTGGTCCCAAACCTCATAATATTTGGCAGCTCTATCCCACAAGATGATGTGCAGCTGATTCAAGGCTTCAGGCAACAGCTGTTTCCCAGTATAATGACCTGAAAAGATATTGCAAATCATCACTTTACAAGAACTTTACAAAGCACACTGAGATGCATCTAAGAACTATCCCATAGCCTGCAACAAAAAACAGGGACACAGCAATAGTTTCAGCTAGGAGACAGTTTTTCATATCCTTTCTAAGAAAAAAACCAAAACCAATCAATCAAACAACCAAAATTAAAAAAAAAAAAAAACTCAGTGGGCAAGAGAAAAACATTTTCATCCTTGAACAATGTAAATGTAGCTCTTGCTTCTATCTAGATGCAACCACAAAATAGGATTTGGTTTACAGCAGCTCTGACAGTCATAAAGTACTACAGTGCAACAGATACAAAAAAAAAAAAAAAAAAAAAAAAAAAAAAAAAAAAAAAAAAAAAACCAACTTATCCAGCTGCTCAAAGAAGGATATGCAACCTGTTTTATACTGACAAACAAAAATAAATTGGACTGGATGGACAAAGTATCAACATTAGAGAACTCTTGGTTAATGCTTCTAATCCCACATGTATCAGTCACACACAGTCTACACTAAGGAGGAATTGCTCTAGCAAATGAACTTTGAGTTTGATCATGACTGTCATTCAATATGGAAGTTGAGAGTTGCCAAGTAAAAGAAACATAATGGAAAACAGACACAGAGAAAGAAAGAGGAGAATAAGCAAAAAAAGTGAAAATTAGAATGCAAGACCTTTGCCAACTACATCCAGCTTTCAGTAAACAGGAGTAAAAGATGGATACAGACCTATAATAACTTCTTCAATCTTTTGCTTAGCAAGCAGCTCCCTCTTATTCTGCAACAGGAACTCGATGTGGAGAAGGGTAATTTTTCCAAGGTCAGGTGAAGATTCAAATCGTTCAGGAACAGATTTCAGAAAATCAAAACCAACTGATTCCCTATTCACAGAGATGCATTTTTAAGAGGCTGCACCAGAAGAGCTGTTAATTTTCCATTCTAGAGATTAACATATTCACACCATACAGCATGTTTGTCATTCAATCACACCGACAGAATGAATCAAGGTATGAATTGGCTACAGTTCATCTATTCAATGGCAGCTTCCTCTTACCACATGCTTTTTCCACTGTATTCACAAGAGTTTATTCCTCACATTTGCTTCAAGATAGAAGCATATGTAATCATCATGGAGCATTCAACAGGGTAAAATCTTATGTCCCAATTTATTTTGCAGTAACTTATCCTTCTACTGTTTTTCCTAAGAATGATTCTAGGATGCCAAACTCATTCTGAGGTTTAGTTAGAAGAAATATGTCACTCCGATGATTCCAGACTTTTATTAAATCTACATAAGGASTCTTAATCATTCCAGAGTAAGGCTACAGCACTGCCAATCACCACTACACTTATTTCACACCCTGTTCTATTGCTGCCATAATCAGTATCACCTTGCCACAGAAAAGACAGGCTCCGCCTCAGACCTTACTTCTGTGAGCTTTTATTCAAAATAAAGCATCGTTGTATAAGAGATGTTCTTTGCTTATAACAAAACACCTAAAAGCTCCAAACATTGTGTTTGTGTGTAAATCACCAATATAGTGATGCTTTCATACCTTCCATGCTCCAACAGCAGTTTGGCAATATTCAAACAGGAGTCTAAAGACATCTCAAGGCGTGTGAATTCTGCAAGAGCTAGACAGAACACAAAGCACTTGAGATTATATAATCAACTTAGACACTTAATTGCTCAATTTACCACTTACCTTTTACAGCTTCTTTGAAAGACAGAAACAAAACAGAAAAAACCCTAGCAACCATATAATAGATCTACAATGAAAGGAAGAATAACGTCTATTGTGTTTTGACTTTTCTTTCACTGTACAGTTAATGCAATACTACAGAAAGGTGACAGACTGATAGCCCTGTCATTCCAGTCCTCTGTCTCTTTAAACAGGAACAGTATAGGCATTAGTAGAGCAATCTTTGCCCTCAAGCTGCCTTCCATCAAAATGTCTCATCCCGCAGGAACAACCTAACACCGAGGTTAACAACCAGGCTGTGTGTGGTATCATATTGCAACGGGAACTACTTCAGCATGATGCCCTCGGCATCAGCTGTTGGACTGACTGGTGCTGATAAGCAGGTATCGTTTTTACACCACTCAGATAAAGTTCTAAAATTGTTACTAACCATTCAGCAGAGACTGACATGGTGGATACATCTGTAGCTTGGATGAGATAAAAGAAGGAATACACAGGGACATGACTGAAACAATTGTTAAAAGGAGCATTTCTGATACAAGGCAGTTGATACACGTGCACAATACAACATTTTAGTCAAATGCCTAAAACTTAGCAGGAATCTTCACTCAAAAGACAGAGAAGTTGCAGTGCTTGGACACCACACTTTTCTGCCAGCCATACAACAAAAGAGACATCCACTCATTAATAAACTTGCTTGAAAAACTGACTGGAGGCTTAGTGTTACTAAATAATAGCTGAATGTGTTTTGAAAGACAACTCTATGGTTTCACAATTCAAACTGCAGAACTTAAGTCAGCTACTGTATGTTTATTTGAAAGTAAGTTTCAAATAAATGGCTGCTTGAAATCTGGCTGAAATTCCCCAGGAGCAATCTGAAGCAAAATTACCATCTCTGCTAGTCTGGCAGCATTCAAACCACTCAGCTCTCTGCAAGAAATTCCTCATCACATCCTACATTTCTCAGATTATTCATTACACATCTGATGCTTTCCAACCATGAAGAGTACAAAGCCCCTCTTCTGCAAGATTTCATTATTGATGAAAATTAATTTCTCTGACACATTCATTATCCTTTCCATATTAAAGTCTCCACAAAAATTTTCTCATCCTCTCATTTCATAGGAAAATCTGTTCTGTTCAAGTGATAAATTTGAAAAATAAAGAGAAAAGAGTTTATTTGACTTAAATAAACAAAATAAACTCTTGTAACACAGGTTAATAATAACACACTGATCAGCACTTGATGTCTCTTGGCCAGAATCTGCAAAATCCCACACAGAGAACAGCAATGTTTCACAAGTCTTTCTTCTGTGTTGACTGTGTAAGAGACAATGCACCTTCACCCTTCTGAGTAACCACAGGCATATGTCTAACATAAACTGCAACTTTACATGGCTGTATTTTTACTGTCTTCGTTCTAAACAGCCTTCAGAGTCTTCCCCCTTCCCTATTTTCTGCAAAGTTATTTAAATTAGCATCTGGATAATTCCTCTGTGAACAYTGGCTGTCTCACACTCTAAAACCAGAATGACATTTAGCTAATGAAAATTCTGCCAAAAACATAAGAAAGGATTTTTTTTCTATATCCAACATATGCAGTCTCCTTGGATATGGAGTAATATGACCTTACTGTGGAACCTAGTGAGAGCTGTGATACCTGAGCTGACATCTTCATCTGATGCTCCACTTTTAAGAAGAAATCTAAGTTTCAAAAAAAACCCTGCTGGATGCAAATTCTCCTGCAAATGGAAAACAATACATTACTTGGACAGCTCTTTGTAGAACACAGATCCTGTGAGAGTACAGCACATTCATATCACAGAGAAATATTTAGAAATCACATACTCCCCACTGTGATCTTCAGTTCCATTTTAAAGACTAAAACAATTGGGAGGTAATTAATGAATTAATTTCTTCCTAAATGCAATKTGCATCTTTATTATTTATTCTTATACTGTGAAAAGACCACAAGTATAACAAAAGCAAAAGACATAAAATTCTCATTTTGCTGTGGCCCATTTTGGATACTTTTAAAATAGAAGATGAACAATACTAAATGATAGAAGCATTTCCTGCTTTTCTATGTGTGAATTGGCTGGATTAATTTAGGATTAATATGAGCAGAATTCAAAACACTTTATGAAAAGAAGAAATTCAAGGGGCAACAACAATGGGAGCAATTGGAAATAATGAAGACTGTATACTAAAGCTCTCACTAAAACAATACATATTTCAGGTTCTAGAATAAACATTTTCTTCTGGTTTTCCATACCCTCAGACAATACCAAACTGCACCTTATCAAAATTTATTGTAAAAACATTTCCTGTTTCAAAAAGCTTTGCAAAACTAAACAAAGAGGACAAAAGGCTTAGATACTGTAGCAGCACGTTATTTGCATGACTAAAATACACTGCCTTTTATCCTGATCTCATGAGCATATGCATCATGATCTGTCTGAAAATTCAGGCAGCATGCAGAAAACTGAATTTCAGCTTTTACTTAAAACAAAATTTTATACTTGAAATTTGTTTTATTCAAAACAGATAAATTTTTTTGAATCATCAGCCAAAGACAAATAAGAATTTTTCAGATTTAATCTACTCCCAACCAACCTGTAAAAATATAAGCACAAAATCAATTCAAGTCTTTGTATGGGAAACAGAATTTGTATAGGATCAAGAGACCTCACTGAATGGCTGCTTAGAGATATATGAACTTCCTTTCAGGGTAGCTGGTATGTTTATACACCTCATTTTTCAGGACTGCTCATGTGCCTCTGCCTGGGTATTGCTCTGGGGATCCCCTCAGATAATGAGGTAGAGGAAATTAAATTTACTCTCTGTGTTTCAGCTGTGGGTTTGTGGTGTCCCAGCTGCCTGCCTGTATCAACTGAAACATCAGAGAAATTTTAGTCATACCATCATCAAAGGACCCCACTGTCAACAGACAGGATGTAATAAGGCAGCTCTACCTCTACATGCTAAGTATTTCTCTACACAAAAGAAAAAAAAAAAGCTGGGAACACCAAAATATACGTAGAAGTATGAAAAAGTAAACACACCTCCATCTGTTGTCAAGGCTAACACAGCAGTGGTTAATGTCCAAATAATCATGTCAATAAATGCTTGAGTTTCACCTATAGCAATCTATAAACAGAGCAAAACATGACTACCTGATTTGCCAAGCTTATGGCTTTCAATGCCTTGTCCAGGTACAGACTGCAATCCCACTCAAAATAGGTCGTGGCTAACAATCGCAGCACTTTAGCCTGGAAACAAAAAAAATAGCCACATATGAACATACACACAAACACAAAAGACTTAAATTCTAAGGCCATGAAAAATAAAAGCTCTTAAGAGTCAAAAAAAAATGCCTGCCTGGTATCAGACATATAAAGTGATTGCTCATTTCTGAAGCATATTGAGTCCTGAAGCACTGCAGCACACACAGGACACGAATCAACTAGAATTCAGAGAAAACCAGACAGCTAGCAAGGAAAATCAGATAACTGAGAAAAACAGAATGAAAGAAGAAATTGAAATAACAGGAGGTGCATACTTCACAGAGGAAAACAAACAAATAAAAAACAGGACAAAGACCTACACGATGATGAACTTCAAATATATAAATTATTTACATAAAGAGGAAAAGATTAAAATCTTCATATCTGCAGTCGGAAGTAAAAGAATAAATAGACTGAACAAGACAGAAAAACATCTATCAGGAATGACACAGCTGTAACTGATGATGTATTGAAAGAGAAGGGGAATGGAATTAGAGATGGCCTTTCAGGATCCACTTCAGCCTTACTTTCTAGACTTTGACTTCTGTGAAATAGTAGAATCAAATGTGATTTAAGGGTGCTCATCAGTGACTGACGCTCATCACAACTGCACTTGAAACCCTGCCAAACTTCATAGCAGACTACTAAAAAGGAGACCAAGACATCACTGAGCAGGTTAGGACAGAAGAGGCAGATAATACACTGGAGTCAGTTTAACTAAATCCTCCTATTTGTAAACAAAAATTTCTGTCTTTCTTACCTGCATTTCTTTGCCAACAGAATATTTCATGTCCATCTTCCCAATGTCATAACTCTGGCTATCAGTAATAAGTGAAAGTTAGAATTACACAAGATGACAGAAATCAATTCAGTTCCTCTGGTAAGAGCAAAATTCCTATCCTTTTCCTCTTCCTAACCAGATAGAAATCACATCTATCACACAAACTAATCTCAGTAGTCACCTTTACTAAARAACAGAAAATTTTGGTTTCTTTCTACCCTGAAAAATTGTACTCAGTCATTTCCTTCAACCTTTTGCAGCACATTCTCTAATATCTKTATTCAAACATTTCAGTAGGTTTCATTTTAACCACAGAGATTTTGAAGAAACAAGTATTTCCACTGTCACCTAACATATAATATACAGTAATACACAAAATCTACACATGACTGGTCTCTGGATCCCAGCACATCAATAGCAGAGAGAGAACCTGGAACTCATGATTCCCCATTCTTCTTCTAAAAGTTAAATAGCAGCACAAACGACCACCCAGGAGAAAAAAACAGTGATAATTCAGCAAACCAGCTTTGATTACAAATAATGTGAATGAAGAACTGTTAGAAAGAAACAAGTAACTGGGCTTTTGTTTTCTAATCTAATATACTCTGATCAGGGAAATCTTAAACCACTAGATGGAGCCACACTCTTTCTCCAGATTATTCTTTGCACTTCACAAAGCTKTATTTCCTCCTCAAATTCTGTCATCAGGATTCAGTATTTAATTTTCCAAAAGAATAAAAYATAAAATAATCTCCAAAGCAACAGTTGTAACTAATTCTAAGCATTTCTACAAATTCTCTTTGACAACATATATAACCATAATGAATTTGAATTTGATATGTTGCCTCCTTTTAACTATTTAAAAGAAAAATAACAAGAAGACATAAACTCAAATTTTCTGCACTGAGGCTGTGACAGTGGCATGAAGCTACTCCTGGTAGCCTACATTTTCTCACCCTCAGTACCCCAATAATTATTTGGATCCTACCCAAACCATCTCGAACCACCCCTTTTTCACCTTGATGCTTGTGCCTTTTGTCAGTCAAGAACTCTCCAAAAAACGAATTTCTTTGGAGGAAGTGTTAGGGAAAGAATTGGCAAGAACCATTGGAAGATGATTTTCATTCTAATGGCATGAAAATCCAGGTGGAAAACAGACATAAATTTTAGGCAATAGAGGATAACCCTCACAAAATATCTGCTCTGATAATTTGGTTCAGCTAAAATCTTGTATTCTCACATTTTTCATTAGGCCTCTACTTTCCACTGCTCCCCTCTTCCCTTCACACACATTTTTACAGCTCAAAAGCAGGGGTTTGGTTTATTTCAATTTTTTTCAGTATTTCAGTAAATTTCAATTTTTCTGTATTTTGGTTTATTTCAGTATTTTCATTACCTGAGCCAGAAGGAGCTTTGTTCGTACTTCTTCCATTCATAGGTTTCCACTCCAAAGTTGTAACACAGGACTGCCAGGTAACAGGTCTGCAACAAAAGACTCCTGCTTCTACAATGTTCTTGTAAAACATCATTACATCTATGGCACTCCAGTCTCAGATTCTTTAAAATTAATTTTTCTTTAAAGATATAGCCACTTTTATAATTTCTGGCCTTTTACAAGGGGATATTGAACATGACTAAAGTAGAATCATCAATTGTTTGGGAAAGTGAAGTATCATAAACCAATCCAGGACACAGAAAACAGGAGGGCTCTTGAAACATATGAGGAAGACATAGTTCCTCAAAAAACCACATTGAAAGCAATAAAACTGTGTAAATTAAATTATACAAATTAAAACTTGAGAGGAAAAACTGGAATACTATAACCTCTTTTTTTTTTTTTTTTAATAACAAAACCTTTTATATAGTTGAGTGAAGAGGCCTCTACCTTTTCCATGGTAGGCTTCTTCTCAGCATGTCTCTCTGGGGTTAAAAAGGATTACAAGTTCTAGGAGAAAACTGCTTTTGAATGCTTGGCTATTCAGAGCTTTATCAGTCAGCCCTGACAACATCTGTTCATAACAACTTGCCTTTCCTTTGAAATGATTTGCAGCTGTCATATGTCATCCAAAGAAGAGACAAAAAAGGCATTTTATATGCTAGCAGGCTGCCAATATTTACATCCATTTTGCCTCTGAAGTATCTTTTTTTCCCAAATATAAATGATGCTTTTTGCAAGTGACTGCAGATTTCAAATTCTCAGACAAAAATGAGAAAGGTAGCATAACATCTTGCTTCAAATTTATTATTTCTTTGCAATCCAGAAGCAAAAGCACAGACTAGGTATATGCATGAACACAAAAAAAGATCACTCTCAGATGCAAAACCTTATTTTTCACAAGTTGATTTGCGAATGTTTTCTTTCCAGAAGAGAAAGTTTACTGTACTGAGCACTGGTTCATAGACTCAACAACCCACAATCCTCTCCAGCTGATCTCTGGTATCCCACAACACAACAATATCCTTGTGATATTCTCCAGGGACTCTCTGATACAGTGGGAGCCTGGAAGAGTTTAGGCTTAAGAGCTATTCAGTAGTCCAACAGTTTTGAATTCACCCAGCAATCACTAGTTCTTTCCTTTTTTCCTAATTTTTAAAATATCATTCTTTCAAACAGAAGTAAATTTTCTCTCATGATCAGAAATCTTTTCATTGTTTGCATCGGTGCTCCTGGTTTGTGAAAAGCTTTCATCACAAGACATTTAATATTATTTAATGAAGGAGTTCAAGCAGAAAGAATGAAATTAAATTAGAATTAAATGAGGAACAGGAATGCAGAGATCCCAGCAAGCATTTTCAACAGTAAGAAGCTCTGCTCTCATGATTCCAATCAAAGCTAGACCTCTGCAATTGACTTAGTCAGTCAGACACATTTGAACAAGGCCTGCAGAGCACAAAAAGCAAGGCAAAATCAGTTGGAGTTTAATTGGTTAAAAACCCAAATAAACTCCAACCATATTTCCCATATTTTCCTTTCAGAATTTCCATCTGCCCCTTTTAATTTTATTACCTCTAYCAGAGAGATGGGAACAAAACGTTTCCTAAATATTGGGAAAACATGTTAGCAAATGAAAATAAATGTATGTCAGGAAGTTTATTCTAATGTAAACATCATAGACTTTTATCTTTGCAAACAAAAAGCTAATTTGCATATGATAGCTTGTTTTCTCTGTGACAAAAGAACTACCAAAAATGCAGTTTAGTGCAATGGGAGATCTCCATTCTTAGCTCTACAGTTTCATGAAGATTAGAACTGATGGTAGTGATACACTTGCATATCAAAAATATTGTAACTCAGCTCTTCTCCCATCTGTCCCAGACAAATGTCTACATGGGTACAAGATGCAATATATGAGATCAAGATGCAAAATGCAGCTGGTTCTGTAGAGAGTAGGTAGTTTATTCAATTTAGAAATCTTTTTGCCTTGCTTGCTCATTTGTCTTCTCATTATTAAGGAAGAGTTTATCATTCTATTTCAAATTCTAATCTAAGAGAAGCAAGATAAAATGCACTTTGAAAAAATCTCTGTTGTTTCCATGCAAAAGTTTTAGTAAGAAAATCTAAAAGAGTCAACTAACCGCAGAAGAGATCTTCAGTTCAGTGCACTTTTCCAAATTTTATATGGCATATGTCATCCTTTAATATAGAGAGAGAAAAGTAGGTTCTCAAAGTTTGGAATGATAAAGAAGGGATGATTTCACTTACTTCTTTTGGCAATTTCATCAACATATCTTTGCAGCGTTGCATGCACATAACTGCTTTCTGAAAATCCCCTTGAGCAACCGCCTAAGAAAGAAGCAGAGCATGCCAACAAACTGTTAGTATGCCACTGGTCTTTAAAATTCACTAAAAAACTGATTCTGTAAAACAGAATTCAGGCTTTTCACATGCAGTAAAGCTAGGTTTGGGATTAGAGATGTGTAATTTGGTATATTTCTATATACTACCAGATGGTAAAACATTCACAAAATCACTGCAGTCCTTAGGTAGTGTGCAAAGGCCAGAGACAGGGGACAAGATCATTCAGATGTTAAGATGATACAACAGTTCACCAAAATTTCCACACCTCTATTTCTATCTCCATGATCAAATAAAAAGTTTTGGCCATTGCTTTGTCCTGTTTAGGGTAGCTCCTGAGAATTTTGGAGATCGCACTTCCCTTCTCAATAGTGAGGTCAGTGGTGTGACCAATAAATGCAGGAAACTTATTCTTTATATTTGCAGTCCTATGTTTGTAATACTCTGTAACATTGATAAAAGCCCTCAGGCACTTCAGCCAAGGAAAACAATTCCTCTCAAAACTTAAAATTTCTAAATTACATACTTCAAATTAAAGTTATTTGTTTTGTTCTCCAGTCAAGCATAGGACACTGTTGGAACTGACCCATTTCTGATTCATACAGGCAGCTGTTTATTTTATAAACAGCAATGCCAGCCAAATCATAAAGCAACAAATCTGAACTAGAAGATATAAACACCACAGCAAAAATGACTGAGATAAATCAGGGAAATTAAAAATCATTAAATGATTACAACACTGAGTGCAAACACGAGATCTGCTATCTCACATCTAAGTGAAGGAAATACATCCCTCAGCAAGGCCTCAGTGCCAAGCATTCAGGTATTGAATAACTGGGTCCATTTCCCTATATACCCCTAGTGACTTAGAAGGAAAATGAGAAGAACACATACTGATTCAGCTTGGTAAGAGAGTACTTTGAAAAGGCTCTTCTCCACATCAGCTCTGTGCATTTGAATATCTGCTTCACCCTCACTCTCCTTTCGCAACTTTGCATACAACTTTTCTATACTCTGGAAAACAAAGTACAGGCATCAACCATGGAGCTTACAAATTGGTGTGTATGTAAGAAATTAAAACTGGAAAAGAGCTTACACTTATGGCATTCTCTAGAAATCCATCTGCAAGACTAGCTTTTCCAATATCTATCCATCCTTTCCCAGTTTTCATAGACATCTGAAGGAGGAAAGGGTAAGTCTGTTGTGAAAATACAGTCACTTTGCAGAAAGGCAACATAAGATTTCATCTTGCTTGTTGCACATATCTAACACAGAACAAGGGTATTTCACCTCTGGAATTTGTGACCAGCAACTCTCCCTTCTGAATGAAATCCTGAATGCTTAAATGCAGCATAAGACTTATGGGGACCTACTAGGCAATATTATAAGATACTGAAATGTACTGCTCAAAACACATTTTACCCTAGAAAAGATGGGATGCTAACCATACAGTCCAGACATTCTTAACTCCAGTGGCTCAGAAAGGTACCCCTGTAAAACACAGGTCCCACTTTAGCATGTACTTTGTTTTCTCAAAAGGGAAATAATGGGATCATCAATCTTATCTTTACTTAAGTGATGAGAAGACAGAGTCAGCAATACTCCTGCCAAAACACCAGCTATCCTTCCAGAACTAGACGTATATTTCATTCCCTTTTCAAAGAAAATGTAATAAGATTTGAAGACTTCCCTGGGGGATCAACTGTACTTCATTACTCACCCACAATTAGCCTTACCAAAATCTGTCTTCGAATAGTTCCCTCCGGAGGATCGCTGCCTTCACAAAGGCAAATCAGTCTGCAAGCAACAGACCGTACTGCAAGAAAACAGTGTCAGCATTCAAAAGTTTCCTTTTCTCTACTTTTTTTTTTTTTACAGAATGTCAGGCCCTGCCATATCTGAAAGACCATTTGGCATTTTAAACCACAAGAGAGAAAATACTGAAAGCTTCAAGAATCAAAGCAATCTGAATTTTAGCCAAGATGTTTAAAATTGCTTTTCAGGCAGTAAGGAAAAAAKATATATTCTCATTAAAATATCTATTAAACAATTTACAGAGCATTTAAGTTAATACATGGTACTCAAAGACTTAATTACATTGCAGGTGCTTACAGTAACATGTCTTGAAAGCCCCAAAATAGCCTTGAGCAAAATAAGGAAATAAAATTTAATAATCTTTACAGTTACAAAGTAAAAAGCAAAAATATTTTCAGGCCTTCCTTAGACATCAGGGATGGAAAAGACACTACTTAATGTATTTAAAACAGCCTCTCCCTGGCCCTTCAGCTGTGATCTGAGAACATCATGCTCAATTTTGTGTAAGCTTCCCCTTTTCCCTTTCCCTGATATAATTGATGTGAAGCAGATTATACAYAATTTTGACTATAATCCCTCAAGACAAGAATGTAGGCCTGACACCGCAAATCCACAGAACCACAGAAAGAACACATTGAAGGAATTCCAAAATCTCACTTCTGCTTTCCCCCAGCCCTGCTCCTGGCCCAAGAGAACCCACCAGCTGTGCACCTGGTTAAAGCAAATCAGTAAAATGAGGACTTAGAATTTTTCTGTATGTAAACATGGATTAGATAGTTAGATTTTAAAAAAAATCTCCTTTGATATAAATTGACCAAGAGCCTAAAATTTACATCTATGTTATTTCCATACGTTTTTAGATTAGAGCCACAGTATCAAAAGGCAAATTACAACTTCCTTTGGTCACACCACCCCTTTACTGATGCTCAGGTATGGAAAAGGGGAGTGATAAGAATGCCTACACTGATTCTGTGTCACAGGAAGAGAACTATTACACCAGAATGCTTCTTCTTGAACTGTTCATACAAGCCCAGCTGTACATTTTTCTCTTTCTACACCTTATCTGCAAAGACCCAAACAAATCTACAGCACTATCAGTGCCTATCAGATGAAAGTGTTTAATTTCCATACTGGAGCACACAGAACACATTTAGGAAGGTACACAACATACATACATACATTTTGCTCTTTGCTCGTCACTGATGACAGCACTGGTGTGTTTGGTCACAGTCCAGTTCCACAAACTGATTGCACTCTCTTCAACCTGAATAGGAGAATTCCACTCAATTTAATTTTATCCTGGATGTGGATCCCATTGCCATTTACTGCACGAAAAAGAAGTATTTTTCATGTGTTTTACAGGAATGGCCTCTCCACATATTTATGCAACTCCCTTTTACACTGGAGGCTAAGGTACGAGTATTCCATAAAACTGTCACAAGACCCCACAGGGACACCTTGGACAACGACCTGAAAACAGCCATGCTGAATGGACTACGTAGCATTTCATTTAAAACCTGAAGGTATTGGAAAAGAATTCTAAGAATCTTACCACATTTGAGAATGTATCTGTAGCAAAGTTTCATCTCTTTTGAACATCAAAAAGAAAACAAAGTAACTTAATTACTTTAAATGCCTACATTGGGAAACTTTTGATATTAGCAAACAATGAACAAAGGCCACTGACTACATACTCTTGTTAAAAAGATACAGCACTACATAAAGGCAGTAAACTGCTTTAGCAACCCACCCTGAGGGGCTGCATTTTCCATCACTTTATTCTACTTTCAATGACAGATCTTGCCTACAAATACATTCTTGACTATCTAGGAGACAGTTCATAGCCCGTTTCATTGAAGTGGCCAGATTATTATTTAATGATTTCTCCTTTCTTCAAAAAGAATTTAGCCCAACTGATTCATGAAGAACTGAGGGATATCAGTTTTATACTCTTGTATTTCTTTACACACTGTACTAATCACACTCTCGGTTACAACACTTCTTGATCTTTGTTGCAAATTTAGGACTTTCAAAATCAGTCTTCCTTAGCTGTTAATTGYTAAGGTATTTAAATGTCACTTGAAAATACCATTTTTGAGGAGAAAGTTGGATAATATCTCAGCTGGTCTTTTTTTTAAATTTCAGATTCATTTATTACTCACCAGACTTCTCTTTAAAAAGGACTTTTAAAGTAGATGTTTATTACTTTCTAAATACTCCTCTAAGAGGAAACACACAGAAAGAAAAAAAAAATTAAAATATTATAAACAACCATCTGATAAACTTTCATAAGTACTGAAAATGAGTACTTCTCACTTCAATACTGCATACTATTTACCAGACAATTAAAATGACACTTTTGCTTGTTTTCTTCTTCCTCTYCTGTCATTATGGGAATCCACATACAGGATGAGCAGGACCTCTCCTCTGATCCAGTACCAAACTCTTAATGCATCAGAGCTCTCTGCCTGCATTTTTACTTGAAATTACAACCAGATACTACTAGTAATTTGAAATCATAAAAACCGGAACATCACCAGTAACTTTTCCCATTATCATTGCAGAATGGTTTGGGTTGGAAGTGACTTTAAAGATCATCCAGTTCCAAACTCCTTGCATGGGCTGGGACAACTTCGACTAYCYCAGGYTKCTCCAAGCCCCATCCAACTTGGCCTGGAGCACTYCCAGGGATGGGGCAGCCACAGCTCCTTTGGGCAGCCTGTGCCAGGGCCTCATCACCCTCACTGTGTCTCACTAATAACTGATCTAAATCAATCTTTTTTTTCAATATGAAGCCATTCCCCCTTTTCCTGTCACTTCATGCCCTTGTCCTAATTCCTCTCCAGCTCTCTTGGAACCACTTCAAGCACTGGAAGGTGCTGTAAGGTCTCCCCAGAGCCTTCACTTCTGGCTGAACTGTGTCTTCCCAGGAGAGGTGCTCCAGCCCTTTAATAACTTCCACAGCTTCCTCCAGCAGGTCCACATCCTTGATTTGTCGGTGAGCCCAGACCTGGACAGTATCCAGGGGAGTCTCCTGACAGCAGAGTCAATGACACACACACTTTTACATTTGGAATCGTCATTTCACATTGACTTTAAAAAGTAGTGTTTCCCACTTTATTTTGGACTTTTGGGGTAAACTATGAAGAAATGAACTCTTCTGATGACTCTTCCGTACCGCCACACGTGTGTGGTTTCACCGCAAAGGATGGCAAGCAGCAGCAGTAGTTATTTACACAGCTGCAGCACCAACCTGGGCCAGGGCTGTGGGGTGTGAAGGACATACACCCCCCGTTTCTTCAGGCAAACAGGGAGCGGGGAGCTCGCTCTCCGCCGCCTTCCCATCCGCCTCAGAGATGCCCTCCGTCGCCTGGAACAGCTCCTCGGTGAGGGCGGCAATGCGGGACGGTGCCTCTTCCCTCAACAGCTCCTGCACCAGCGCTGTAAGACATGAGGACAGCGGGGCGTGATACACAGCCCAACAACAGCCGGCGGCGGCGCTTCTGGGGAAGGGAGAGCCCGCGACCCGCGGCACCTTCCACCGCCGCCACCCGCAGCCCCGCCATCGTCCCTCAGGGCAGGAGCGGCGGGAACACCGTCCCCGCACTGCGCGTGCGCGCCGAGCCTGCGCGCGCCCCGACCCAGCGCTCCCGGCGGGCTCCCGCGCCGCCGATTGGCTGCCCGGCGCTCCAGCCCCGCCCTTCCGCCYCGAGTGACAGCCGCCGCAGCCAATCGCAAGGCGCGGCGGAGCGGCTTCCCCCGCGCGCCGCTCGCTGCGTCCGGTGCGCGGCGCTTCTGGAAGGATCCGGGCGGCGGGGCCCGGCGGCGGGGCCGGGCGGGAGCAATGTCGGGGCTCCTGCACACCACGCTGAGCGGGCTCAACAGCGACTCGTACTGCGAGATCAGCCAGTACCGGGACCAGCACTTCCGGGTGCGCCCGGCGCCGCGGGGGGCGCGGTCCGGCCGGGGCGGGGAGGGCTGAGGCCAGGGCAAGGCCGTGCGAGGAGCCGGGCGCTGGGAGGGCGCGGGGCGGTGGGAGCGGGACGGCGAGCGCGCTGACTCCGCGGTCTGCGCCTCTGTGCCCGCAGGGTAGCAGGCAGCTGCAAGAGAAATCTCTGAAGATTTCCTCTACGCTGTATGTCGGCAACCTGTCCTTTTACACCACCGAGGAGCAGATCCAGGAGCTCTTCTCCAAGTGCGGAGATGTCAAGAGGATTGTCATGGGTCTGGACAAGATCAAGAAAACCCCCTGTGGCTTCTGCTTTGTAGAGTATCCTTTCTGGTTCTCTTCTGTCAGCATGTGTGTAGTTGGCACCTGTAGTTCCTCTGCCCATCAAGTGCATCTGTACTGCTGTTGGGAAGGAGGGATAGCCAAGTGCTTCCTACCAGGCACATTTCGTCCATCCTTGCTTCTTTCCACACCCTGAGAGACTGACTGCACAGTGGTGCCAGATGTGACAAGTGCCACCAGAACTGTACTTTCTGGAGGTGGCAGAAAGCCCCTGTAATTAGTTAATTTCTTTAATAATTTTATGGCCAAAATGAGAACTGTTACAGTCGTCAGGTCTGAGGTCTTCCACGTACAGAGCACGTTTACTTTCTCACCTCAACTGCACACCTGAAGGAAGTAGCAGGATAAGCCATGGGGGCATTTTCAAGCAGAGGGTACGTGCTCATACAGGTTGTGCAAGGAGCTGTCTGTGCAAAGCTCTCCTGTGACGCCTGCGCCTTTTGTTCTATTTCAGTCAAGTTTTGCATAGTACAAAAAGGCATATTACTGATTTCTTGCCCTTAGCAAGGCTTTAATATCTTTGTTCTGTTGTCTTGTCTGTGCAGGTACTAACATTAAAGCACAGAATCCTTTCTGAGCATTAGCTGCTTTTAGCTTGGATTTACATGAGTGCAGTTTTTGATCCCATAGAGAAGAGCGGGAAGAGCAGAAAAGGCTGGAAGGCAGGGGAGGGAGTTCTGCTTRTCGAATATAATAGTTCCCTTTTTTATTTCCCCTGTACCCAACAAAAGAGCACACTTAGTTGTCCTTATAGAGTGCCTCAGGTACTACACGAGAGCAGATGCTGAGCACGCCATGCGGTTTATCAACGGCACGCGGCTGGACGACCGCATCATCCGCACAGACTGGGATGCGGGGTTCAAGGAGGGGAGACAGTATGGAAGAGGAAAGACTGGAGGACAGGTAAAGGCAATACCAGTTCATCCCCCAAATTTGATTCCCAAAAGACTTTCCTCTTCTGTGCTGGTTTTGTTTCACTGAGTGCAATTTGCAGACTGTAAAGACCTGATAATGAAATTTAGTCACTCCAAGGTTGTTTTGGTAATTGATACCTGATGTTAAAAGCTGGAAATAGAACTTAAGGTATTTCTGTCTAGGACTCCAAGCTTCCTGCAATGCCAGCAGAATGCTCCCTTATCCAAGCTAGTATCCTTGAAATGATCCTGAATTTGAGTAGAGGGAACCAGTGTGGCTGCCAGGCCAATCTCATAACACAGCAGTTTCCCCAAGGGCAAAGATGTGATGTAGATAGGATAAAATGTTCTGGAGGCCAAGCCTGGCAATTTCAGAAAGATGGACTGAAAAGCTGAATGAAAATATTTTGGGGTCTTCTTTGTTTCTTAACTGAAAAGATATTAGCCATCAGATACATCATTATTTGACATTTTCACCACCATTACCACCTTTTTGGTGGATTGTTTGAAGAGATCTCAAATGAGTTGAAGTGCTTCTGGTCTGAACTTCAGTTCCCCACCARCTGAACAAGGAGGGGATGATGATTCTGAAGTCTAGTAGGAGACAGGCAGGGCAGRCYACTAATATGTGTGTTGTTACTGTGCCCCAGGTGCGAGATGAATACCGGACAGACTACGATGTGGGAAGAGGTGGCTTTGGCAAGATCATTCAGATGCAGAAGGCAAATCATCAGCCTGCAATCTATTAACTGCCTCGTGGGTCCCAGCTTGTAGAGAGCTCTGTCCTTCCAGAGCTAGCCCTGTTCTCGCATTTGGCATCGAGGTGTGGAGTGAGATCCAAGTTCCAGCAAAAGGTGACCCTCCTCAGACTGTGGGTATACATGTGTTCATTCTCCCTTCTTTCTGTGCTAGAGAGGATGTTCTGTGCTGACACAGGGCAACAAGGGAAAAAGATGGACATCTCTCTAGGATTCTGGACAAGAAGAACTGCAGCATGTCATACACACCTTACGCTATGACATACTCTTCATGTTGCACTTAAGCAGATGGCTTCCTCCAAGCTGTAACTGCAGCCATGTTTGCTTTCAAACAGAACTTTCTTTAAAGGCTTACCACCAGTGGAGCCCTCCACGTGCCTGAGCACCTTGTGGGGATGCACAAGAGATTCAGGTTTCTAATTTACAACCTCACCTGCTTAATAAACAGTATCACTGTTCAAATGAGAGAAGTAGACAAGGTCTTAGCATCCACTTGGAGGTGCCTATCTGCACATCTAGACCTTGGGTTGGTCCAGGCCTGCAGAGCATTTTCCTTTATGATGCCCCCAATGCTGCCTGGCTTTCCAGATCCTCGCTATTCAGTGTGATTTTATTGAAAGTTTCTGTTAATTTTTTTAAATAAACRATTGTATTGGGTCTGGCTGAGATGAAGAATTTTACCCCTGGCAGCCCTTGTAGAACTGTGCTTTGTATTGGTAGTTAGGAATGTGTTGATAACACACCAATGTTTTGGCTGTTGCTGAACAATGTTCCCACAGCATCAAGGCTGTTTCTAACATTCCTGCCTCACCAGCAGGCTGGGATGGGGGCAAGATCCTGGGATATTCCAGACCATATGGCATCTGCTCAGCAATAACAGCTAAGAGAAAGGAGGAGGGGGGCATTTCTTATTACAACATCTGTCTTCTGGAGCAGCTGCTGTGTGTACTGAAGCTCTGCTTCCCAGCAAGAGGCTGGACATCTGCTGGTCCGAAATAGAGAATAAATATTTAGTTTTCATTTGCATCCACGTGCAGCCTTGCTTTTGCTTTATTAAACTGCCTTTATCTTGGCCCACAAATTCCATTCCCATCTTTTCTCCCTGCCCCCTCCTGCTGAGGAGAGGAGTGAGAGAGCAGCTTGGTGGGTACCTGCTGTCCAGGCAGGGTCAGCCTACCAGAGACCTGTTTGGTGCCCTGCCTGGGGCCTGAGACAATGGTAGTCCTGTGCTAAGTGTGCTTTGGTCACAGTAGTTACTAAGTAGGCAGCTCCTRTCGGGTCACACTGTTTGTTGGCTGCACTGCTTATCTCTTTACTTTGCTGGGCTTTGGGAACATGTTAATGCAAGCCATGGCTCTGTGCTTTGCCCTGGCACTGATGGCCTTGCTCTGCTGGGGGAGCTGCCTTGTRGAGAGGATCACATTTCCCACTCCACCTGGTGTGGGTGGCTTTATTGTTGCTGCTCACGAGGTCCCTGCTCACCCTTATGTGAGCTGTTTAATACTACTAATTAACACTGTTGGCATACCCTGGGGGCTGTGTAATCTGGTGTCATCTTGGTGTAAGAGAAGACAATTTTTGGGCGAGTCAATACTAAAATGTGCCCTGAGGCTGCTGGTCTGTGGGTGGCAGAGAGTGTGGAAGGATTTGGGCAAATACCTGGGCTGGTTATCACCTCACATAGCCCCGAGATTACACCTGAACAGGCAAGTAACCCTGGCAAGCTGACATGCCAACTGATGAAGGTGCCTACCCCAGTGAAAACCAGCAGCTTCTGGCACTGTACTGCAGCTTGGCATGTGCAGGCTGAGCCACAGTTCAGGGTAGTCAGAGGGCTGTGGTTAACTCAGGGACCCAAGCCACCTTGGAGAATGACTGAGACTGGGGCACAAACTCCATTTGAGGTGATAGTAGAGATGGGGACCCAAACAACAACAACTRCGATTGCCCCAGTTGTGAAAAAACCCAGGTGGACATGGAAGTCAATGGGTCCATGTCATCAGTTCTTAAGGGAGGAGGGATAAGAAGGGTTCAATCAAGAAGCAGGTCTTGGAGAAAAGAAAATGCAGAAAGGAGTAAGGGAATTCAGACAAGAAGCAGAAACCACCTAGTCTGACCTCATCAGAACTCGGAGACGTGGAAAGATTACAGCCACCAGGTATGTGGAATCCTGACTGGATGCTGCAGTGTTGGGATAATGGAGCCCAAAGTCAGCAGGAAGATAGGAATTAGAAGAACTATTCAGTTCCAGGGGACAAAATAAGATGGATGTCAACATGTGCCTGTGGATGTGATCCAGATACCAACCATGTCTCCATTCTTGTTAAAGGAGGAAATACGAGCTTTGTGCTCATATTGTGAGGCATAGTGGAAAGTGCATATTCCAAGTTATTGCTAGTTTGTGAACCTTCCTCATCGAGTAACCCGAATGAACCACAGAATCACAGAACGGTTTAGGTTGGAAGAGACCTTGACCAGRTAGTTCCAAGCATCCTGCCATGGGTAGGGATACCTCTGAGGAGAAGAGATACATGGGACTTGGTGAACAGCTGGTATTCAGCCAAGGACAACCCACTCCAGCAGTGAGTCCTGTACCTGTTGCAGTTTGTGTGTCAGAACCACTTTATGACACGAACTGAGGGGGACACATACCCTGTTGGTGTTTTAAAGCTGCTGTCACTTGCAGAGATGGAGATGGATGGGTGGGTGCACAAGTCTCACCGTGTTTGTCTACACTTTGTCTTAGTGCTGGCTTTTCCTCTTCTGCACTGTAGCTGATGGAAAACAATTGCATTCTCTAGCTTGTTCTTGAACAAGAGAKCAGAAGAGATGTAAACCCTTTTTGATTCATCCCCAAGAACCTCTCAGCTAGGGCAGGTAATTCCCTTGAACAAGTTAAATTCTGTCTGTAAATTTGGGTTGTATTATGTACACAATAGCAGCTGCTTCTTGCCCAGTAATGTGTCACAATTTTTAATGCATTATCTCATCCTGGATGATAGAAACTGTTGCACACCCATCTGCAGACCAGGCAGTTAAAATCAGCTTAACACACCGTCAGAAAGTCTTGATAACTGAGCTAGGAGGGGTGTTACATTTAGTTTATCAGAATTTCTCCTACCTGTTTGTTCTGCAAATCAGGTTACTGTGCCCATACAACTGTCACAGGTCTTGAAGGAGCCACATGTTTATTCTTCAGCAGCTTTTAGCAATGACAGCATTGACCAGCCTGTGATGCAGGCTGTCCCTGAGATGCAGTGAAATGGAACAGGACATTGACTTAAGAATGAGAAATACAAGCAGTCATCTGTCCAGCCTTGCAAAGCACCATCAGTGTGAGATCCCATGYGGAGAATATGAATTACAGATGGAATAATTGCCTGGTAAACACAGCTGGAAAATGGGAAAGCTTAAGGAAGATGAGGAGAGGTAGCAGCCATAAAATTCTAGGATTTGTAAAGAAATCTCTTGTGTATGCAGTAGGGAAATCAGCACACCTGTGCAGCCTGATAGTGGCAGAGAAGGGGTAGTTCTTCAGGAAGTGGTCACACTGATGGAAAACTACCTGTCTGCACCATAAATGTSCCACTTGTACTGCATGTGCTGCCTCTGCCATCTCCTCCCACACCTCTCAAGGGCTCACTTCCACTGCAGTGAGGGTGTGGGTGCCCTTGGGATACAACTGTCTCCTAAGAGAGGTAGGGAGCCCTGAGTAACCAGGGTGAAGTTCTAGGTGCAGGCACCCTCAAGGTGTGTTCTCAGCTCCAGGACAGACTGCAACAGGAGCCACCCTTTGTTGCCATGTGGACTGGGGGGCAAGAACAGCAATCAGGGCACCAGCTGTAGTGCTGAGAAGAATAAAAAGCAAGAGAAGAGCTGTTGCTCTTCTGGCAGCAAGTCATCATGCCAGACCTGCAAAGGCAAAGCCAGGCGAGCATTAAGCCTGTGTGATTAGAGAGCTGGCCACCTGCCACAGCTCAGGGCCAAGAGGATTACTGGATGCACACAGCCTCCCCACAGCTCCTGGGTCATGTGTGCTTCAGCTTACCACAGAGAGCAGAAGGGCTAGGGCCTGCCTGGAGCCAGGTGAGTAAAGAGTGATAGGAATCTCACCCATCAGCGGTTTTGATCTCCTGGAGCTCTTTTGGACAGTGAGGGCTTACAGCACAAACCAGTGCTGCTGCAGAAATATCAGGAGCTGATATGTTTGCTCTGTTAGACCAGTGATCCCATCAGCCCAGAATCATTTCCCTAGATTCCAGGACTTGGGCCCTACTGATGGATTTGTCCCATTCAGCAGCTCTGCTCCACCAGCAGGGAAGGGGATCTGACAGAACCTGCTCATTGGTTTTACAAGGAAGAAGGTGGCACATTAACTCCTCACATTCAAGTATTTGGTATCACAGAGCAGCGGAGACTTGCCAGCCTATTTTAATTCTCAAGTGGATCAAAATTTAATCTGCTGCCTACGTCTCCGCCTGCCAGGGCCAGTTCTGGCCAGGGAGCAGTGCAGGAGCAGGCACTGCAGCTGCAGCTCTCCCTCCAGAGGCTCTGTATCACGGGCCCATTGGCCTCTAGCCTGGGGTAACAGCACCCAAAACTGGGTACACGGGGAGACTGCAGGCTCTGGGCTCAGCTGGGACCCATGAGCTGCCCCTGGCCAGAAGATACCCACGAGGTGGGATGTGAAACCAGCATGGCACACAGGCACCACCTTGATGAGGAGGGCTGGGAATCCCTGAGGAGTCCCCTGCACTTGAGGGCTGGAGCCTGAGACTCAGGCAGGGCACTCAGCCCGGGGCACTGGGGCAGTGAATGCCTGGCCTGGGGCCAGAATAGGAGCCACATCCCCTCTTAGTGCAGGCACAGCCCCTGCAGGGCTCAAAGCTCCAGCCCAGACCCAAGCAGAGCTGATGGTGCAGGTCCCTCACTGCTGACCGTGCAGTGACCCTGAGCCACTGCCAATTAACAGCAAGAGATGCCAAAACCAAGCACAGTCCATCTGCCTTAAATTAGTTTATTTTGGATAATAATGTCTGGTCTGATTTAGACCAGAACAAAATCTGGAATATCATCATCTTACATGGATGCAGCCCAGCTCCTGTCAGGCTTCCTCTGCAGACCATTGCTGGTGCCTCCAGGAGGTGCCATTCCCAAGGCCTTCAGTGCATCCACTCTGGGACCTGGTGACACAAGCCCGTGCAGCAGAGGGCCTGCAAGGCAGGGCCATGACAGGCTGCTGTCCTGCCCCCTCCAGGTACCAGCAGCACTGGTTTGAGCTGCTCTGAAGCACTGCTCCCCAGCTCCTGGCTCGCAGGCTCACTATCCCAGGGGACAGCCTGAGGGATGGTGGCTCCAGCTGGCAGATTTTGGGCAGGGACCGCACCCAGCACAGCTGGCTGGGACCAAGCACTGTTCTGCAGTGGCATGGAGGGTCCTGCTCAGGGGCCCATGAYCACAGGGCATTAACATGAGATGCAAAAAGACCAACAGAGAAAAGCACTTAAAAAACCACTTAGTTTAATAGATTTTAAAATTTGCTTTAAAATTATAGAAAGGCAGATGAGGTTGGACACGACTACCACTACACTGAGGACATCTCACAGACACTTGAGCAAGATATTTACGCCAAACAGCATGGGCTGGGCAGCACCAGGCTGCTGGCAGTGCCATGAGTACCAGAACAAGTTGTACCGAGCCTTCCTGCAGAGCTCCGGCCATGGCTGCCATGCACATTTCTGGCACCTGGAAAGCAGAGAGGAGGTGGTGAACACAGCCACATGACAGATGGGATGAGTACAGCTGCACCATCACGTGGGGCCTCCTATGCACGGGGAAAGCAACTTTCATGGAGGGAGGGCTGTGCTGTGGAACTGGAGGGCAGAGACCAGCCCTGGGCCACCAGTGCTCCCATCCAGCCAGGGGACTTTGCTGTGCCAGGAAGGGGCAGCACATGACCTGGTTCTGCAGTACTGACTCTGTTTTGCCAGTGGGTAAGGTCAGAGACACATGCACCAACTTAAGRAACAGTGTAACATGTACCCTATAATTTCCATAGTGTTATAAATCCTGTTAAGATGCTAATATAACTCCTCAGTTTCCTTGCATTGTACCCCCAGTTACCAGTCCACAGGTTTTCCCACATAATCTACCCTGTGACTACAGTCACTCAAACGTCACAAGATCCAACAGAGCTGGAGAATATTTCATGCTTTGGTACCGCATGGATTGTCTGCTATCAGTGGAGGTAGTTGGTAAGTGAATTGTTTCATGAGCATCCAAACCTTAACATACAATGCAATTAGTAGAACAAAAAAGCAAAAGGATTAGCATCAATAAAAAACAGGGTGAAGCAGGGGGTTCAGAATTCTGATAGCTGTAAGCACCCATCCAAAAAGAGTGTCCTGCCATCAGCGTCCTCCACCTTTCTTCAGCCGCTCCAGCACACCATGTATTTCTGCCACACCATGACTGACAGCAAAGTCTTTAGTCCATTTTCTTGAGCTTGTTTGAGCAAATGCTTCAGGTCTGCATGTTGCAACAGTTCCTTTACCAGTGTGAGGCTCATACTGATGGCAGTAGGCTGCAAGTCTTGGATCAGGGTATATAGTTAGATTCCAAAAATTGACAGTATATAACGGGAGCTAAAAAACTAAAAAAAAACTAAAAAAAAAACTATCCTTAAAAAAATAAAACTAAAAATAAATAACTAAAATCCTGTCCCTGTGATACAGTTACAAGCACAAATATTGGAGTGACTTCTTGGACCTACAGTAATGTTATCTACAAATGCAAAATCACAAGAGGTTCTCATGCAAACACATCCTTTGCCAATATACACAAATACTGTTTGCAGGCTTTCATCTGAATTAATCTCAAAATGACAAACATTTCACTCAGTGTCAAGACAAGTATTTTGAACTTTGATAGTGTTACTTTCACAAATGAATCCTTGTTGTTCCTGCACAAGGTATGCATCGATATGAACAGTTTGATATTTTTTCCCATCTTTTTGGGCCCATACTCTATGCTCCAAAGGATAGAGTACAGTCCCATTGGGATTTAAACCTAATGCAATGATTTGGTATATTTCATTTACCCAACAACTGCATATTGGTAACACAATAGCTGGGCTGTGCTGCTGGTAAGATTGACTAGGTAACACCAGGACTGGAATCACTTTTTTAAAAAATTCAATCATTCCAAATTTGACTTTTGAATTTAATGAGTGAGGTACCTTCTTCACCTTCCCTTATGATTGTAATAGGTATATCAATTGATCATCTTTTTCATTAATTATCACTCACTGAGGTATAAAATATTTGTTAAAAGCCATTGTTTAGTTAAAGGAGGGTTGTGTAAAAGTGAAAATGTACCACAATTCTGATGTCTGGTAAACAAATTTAGGTTTCCAGATAATTATGCATAGCAGAAATAGTATTAGTGCCAAAACTAGTAACAGTATTTCTTATATACATTCAAGTTTGGTGTAACCTAATCCATCCATCCATATGCAATTCATTCACGGTCCCTGTGAAGCTGAAAAGAAAGGAAACATTCTTGGCTGCAAATGCTAACTTAATTGAATTTAAAAGGTTCAGGTGGAGTCTCTCTACTTCACGTGAGCAGAAGTCAACTTCTACTTCACAAAGTGCTTGCCTCATGACGGCTGCAGCTTACCCTACAGTTTGGGGGAGGTTCTCCTCTGATCATATTATCTGGAGAGAGACTGTTTGTAAAATTTTGGATTCACTATTATTATTTTGGCAGTGTAACAGATAATACTTTTCCAATAAAGCCAGTCAAACTTTTTTTTTTTTAAACTTAAGTTTAGTTATTTAGCTTCCATAGGAGAAATCAAAGAGATTTTGCTCTCTGCTCCTACAGCAAATAAACATAGGGGCCATCCTGAATATTCCCCTAGTCTTTTTCTAAAGATACAAATCAGAATATGGTTCCCAATCTGTCTTCTCCCCCAGAATAACTGATACACTCACAGGGGGTCCTCCGTGAGCAGATGTGAAATCCCATTGAGGCTCTGACAAGGGTGCCATAGCCTGAGTTGTTCCTGCATTGTTTGCCTCAGAATTCTGCACTTTGTTACTTTATTTATTCAACCCTCTCCGATTATAAATATGCCATAGCTCATGGATTGAAATTCTATCCTTTTTTTCCTGAGATATAGCATATTTTAATAAAGCTGCAAACATTTCTTTGCAAGGAGTCTTGTTTTGACTCCCTTCAGAGCTGTATCAAGTATCTCAGTTCCCTGCACTACTGCACAGGCCCCGTTCACCAGGGTCACCCAGCTGCTGTTATTTTCTCAATTATTTCATCTGGAGGATTGATTCCCTGTCTCCTTAATCAAGACAGTCGTGATTACATTTTTATATGCTGGTGGAGCAGTCCAATTAGCTCTCACAGTAACACACAAAGCATTTCACATCAAAGAGTCAGGGTCTCTGGTAAAGGCTGCCAATCTCATACCTCCCTGCTTTATTCACTGTATACAGTCTGGCAAACTATATCTCTAACTTTCAGAACCTGGCCTGTAATCATTTTCTGTAGGGTATTCAGTTTTACATCCAAGGCACCCAAAGCTAGCAAGTAAGTGTCATGAATGTTATTTCAAAACACAACCTGCTCAGAATGCTAGCTCAAAACTAAAAACTTAAGACTGCCCTGAGTCTAGGGTTATCCCTGATACTCCCCGGTCATGCAAACACAAACACACCATCCAAGGGAAGAGGGGTTCCCCTGGTCTTTGCTTAAACTGTTCAATTATTTCATTTGCTTCATGCTGAGTATAATCCTCTCTGAGTATCCCTCCTGACTGACCATTAGCAACTAATTCTACCTTTCATCTCCATGCCAGTCTCACATGTACAAATTCTTCTGGGGAACCAACCTCATCAGAATCCAAAGAACTTCAAATATCTCCACCTGATTTACAGGGATCATACTGCACACCTCCCTGTACAATCACTGCATGCCCTTTCCTGTGATTCACTTCTTCCCCTCCTTTTCTTACACTGAGCTGCTCTAACTGCAGCCTTTTCAGTTAGTCTGGTAAGTGTCCAAATTATCAGCAGGCAGCTTATTTTGGCTCTGTAGCATTACAATCTGATTCTGCAACTCACACGTTAGAGATTTCAATAACTGTTCCTTTTGTTGGTGTTTTGTTTGATGCACTGTTAACAAAATCCATCCTTGCCTTCCCAAACCCACAAGTTCTTTTTCAGTATATGGTTTTTGAATGCATTTCAATATGTCCAGCAGTTCAGCTTCTTTTAAATGACTTCCCATTGCTCACACAGTCCTCCAACCACAGCCCACTCAAGGGCTAGTAAACTGTAGGGAAGGTCTTCCCATCCAGGAATTTCGGATAGGAYGGATTCCTTACATTTAGACTTAAAAAGCAACAGTTGGTTCTAACCCAGCTGACTATGCCAATTTTGTTTTGCCTGTGGGTCAGAGGCACAGACACCAACTTAAGGAATAGTGTCATTTACTGTAATGTAAAACTGCAGAGAATCACAAAAGGATAAGCTCAGCAATGCACCTAACCATTAGCAAAGAATTACAAAGCAATGCTAATCATTACTACAGAAGAAAGCCTATAGTGATTAAGAAAGATACATCACCAGTTACCCCAGTAAAGACACATCATCCAAGTCCCAGAGACATCAGCTTGGGGGGAGCTGTCATAGCCAAGGACTGGAGAACCACCCCTGGTAACTGGGAACTGCTGCGGTGCCTCCACCTTTGCAGCCACGAGGCTCCCCCTCCGCTGTGACAGCACTCAGCTTTTGTACTCCTAAACAAGCTGTCATAATTTCTAATTTCATTTTCCTGCTGGCTTTCTCCCAAAGCCTGGCCAGGGCTCAAGGAGGACCCAAGGGAGTCGTCCTTGATCCTACAACCCCTAATTAGGCCAGAAGTAGCCTTATCTGGTTTCTAGATATGGAAAGGAACACATTTTGCCAATAAATAAACACATATAACAATACTTTGTTGATGAGCGGATGCACACAACATTTGGTTGGAATGTTCATCAAAGGTCAACTTTGGCTCAGGGCCTGTTGTTCAGGCCTTAATACTTCACTCTGGGACTCACTCTCTGCACGAGTGTGTGGATCTGCAGATGTACTGTGTGGATCATGATCTTGTCTCCACATGAGAATACTGGCAGAGGTCCATGGAGTGCTGGTGCCCAGCCCCTCATATGGCAGCAGCCCCAGGGCTGAGGTCCAGTCCAGGATGTTGCAGAGGCTTTTCTATTGTGGCACAGGCTTTTTCTGCATTTTTCCCTTCCACGCTGTTCCGAATCCCATAGAAGAAGTAAATAGTAAAACCTGCAGGACAGTTTCCATAATGAAATGTGCAGTGGTGGGCTGTCAGCACTAACAGCCCCCCAGAAGAGACCTGTGAGCACTACACTCCCCGCCACAGGACACTTACCCAAAACCATCCAGACAGCAAACTGCAGCCAGGTGTTGGCACTCAGCTGTACCATCAGCAGGATGTTAACGAAGATGCTGAAGATTGGCACGAGTGGGAGGAAAGGTACCTGCAAGGGACAAGAAGTGCTGTGTCAGCTGCGCCTTGAGGGACCAGGCTGGGCTTGAGGATGCTACTGGTCAGGAGAGGGACCTCACCCCTGCCACAGCCCAGAGAGCACCCAGGCATTTCCACACTGGGGATTACACCTCAGAGAGACACATTTCAGGGTCCTGGGCTTTCTTGGAGACTGCCTGGCAGCAAGCCCTGGCAAACCCTGCAATGCCCACATCCTGGTGGAGTCCATGGGGCTGCACTCACTTTGAAGTTTAACCGTGTGTTGCTCTGTGGCTGCCTCCAAATGATGATTATGAGAATGAGCAGAGCCACGAGGAGCAGCACCAGAGTCACGACACAGCCCACGTTGGCGTCCTTCAGCGCGGCCACGTTGAGGTTCAGGACCACACAGATGACTGTGATCAGTGCAGCTGCAAGAGAGGGGATAGTCAGGGGGCTGCATGGCCCACAGCCTCCCTGGGACCCTGAACCTCACCAGCACAAGGGCTGGGCTGAGGCATCCACTCCTCTTGGTCAGGTAAGGGTCCAGCATGCCCCAACACCCACCCCAAAGCCTCAGGAAAGGGCTTTCCTGCAGGCACTTCCCAGACSAGCAAGTGGCAGGGAGCCTGCACTCGGCTGGGCTCAGACCCAGCTCTGATGCTTACCCAGACCTGGCTGAGCCATCCCATCGTTCTGGCTGTACAATGGAGCCATTGATAAATCAAACCTTGCTGGCCGAGCCCAAGCACTCTCAAGGGGCTGGGCACTGCCCTTGCTGGTGGCCAGCGTGGGCCAGGCTCATCACAGGGATCTCCTGCACATCCCTGGCTTAGCACCCGTGTCCTCCAACAACCTCCATGCACCCCAAACCACCGCTGCACCCTGCACCTGGCACCCTGCTCAGGGTTCAGCGCCTGCTGGCACTGCCAACAGCAGCTGGCAACCTGTGCTGCCTGGCTCCTCTCCTTTGCCTGGCATGCTCTCCATCCTTCCCACCCTGCAGAGACACACCAAAACACCCCGGCCCCTGGCAGGAGGGAACACCAGCCTCCTGTTCACACTCACTCACCAATGAGGGCGACACAGACATAGACAATGCGCCCCGAGAGTGCAGTGGGGGTGTCCCCAGGTGGGTTGAAGAGCATCGCCAGGGACAACGTCTCTTTGTGCTGGGCACTGGCAGCAGTGACGGTGGGGTTCATGATCACTCTCTCCTCCTCGTTCCCATTCAGCTCCAGCATTTCCATGGCCTGCGGGGAGTTCAGCTGTCTGGGCTGGTACCTGAGCAGGTTAAGACAAGCTTGCAACAGACCCAAGGAACTTCCTAGCCCAAGGGAGCAGTGGGCAGCACCCTCATATCCCTGCTGCTCCAGCAGCAGCCCCGTGACAGCCACTCCATGGATATGCCCAGAGACACACACAGACCCTGGTCAGCAGCCTCCTGACATTTCCCCAGGCTGCACACCCCTGGAAAAAAGCTGAGGCTACAAGACCCCAGGACGATGTAAGGAACACCCTTGGCACCACCAGCCATGAGGAGTCACCCACCGGAGGATGAGCACACACACTGCCACCAGYGAGTAGGCCAGCAGCGTGCCGATCGACATGAGGTCCACCAGGTCCTTCAAGTCAAGCAGGAAGGCCAACACCGCTGCAGTGAGAACACACAACATGAGCACAGCTCCAGACCGACGTGGGGCTCAGTGTGAGGAGGTGGCCAGCAGTCTTACCTGCGAAGAAGCCTGAGGCAATGGTGGCTACCACAGGGGTCTTTGTGCGACTGTTGATGTGAGAGAGGACCTTGAAGAGCAGCCCGTCCTCGGCCATGGCATGGACCACTCGGGGCATGGGAAACATGGAGCCCAGCAAGCTGCCATGGGGAGAGATTAGCCAAGCTGTCCACGCTTACCACCCCAAAGGGAAGGGACAGGCTCTGTGCCAGGAGCAGGGTAGCAGCTGGACAAAGCAAATCCCCAGGCCAGCTGGGATGAATGCTGCAAGAAATAGCCAGTCCTACCTGGTGGAGAGAGCACAGAGTGAGCCAACGGCAACGGCGTAGCGGGCGGGCTCCCAGCCCACTGCTTTGAAAGCCTCAGGCAGAGGGCTGTTCTTGTTCAGGCAGAAATAGGGCACCATGAGAGTCAGGGAYGCAGAGACCCCAAAATAAGCCACAAAGCAGATGAAGAGGGACACGATGATGCCAATGGGGATCGAGCGCTGTGGGTTCCTGGCTTCCTCCCCTGTGCAGACACAAGAGCCACATGTACCTCCTCCATCACACAGCATGGGGCAAGGACCCTCAGGGGATGAGCCAGAGGAAGGATCTTCCACAGGAAGGAAGCACAGGACAGGGCAGCAGCAAGCAGGGGCTGCTGGACAGAAGGGGTCCCTGGCCATGCTGCTGCACTAGCAGAAGGAATGCAGCTGCCTGGCAGCCTGGGTTTGAAGTCCCCCGGCCATGCCAGCCCTCCTCCCCCACCAGCAGCTCCCTCTCCCTACAGAGCCCATTGAACGGAGATCCTCTGTGCACCTCAGATTTGCAAAGGTGCGCTGCACCACGCTCCCAGCAAGGGGCTTGGCAGGAGGAAAGGAGGAGGCTGCTGGGCAAGCCCCTAGGGCAGGGTGGCACAGGCAGGGAGGTCAGGCAGACCAGCCTGTACCAGCCACCCACTAAGTAGATTTCTGGGGTAATGAGAGGAAATTAAGAGAGCTGCCTGTGTTCCAGGAAGCAGCAGTTTTGCATGAACCCAGTCATTTAGAAAAAGGCTGCTTGAGGCTGGGAAATAACTGGGAGGCACCAGCAATTCCCAGCACTATCACAGCCTCGGCTCAGCAGTCAAAAGGCTCCCCACTGCTCTGGGAGCTGCCTGCGCAGGCAGGGTGCAGCCCTGCTCCCACCATGTGGTGTAATGAGCCACTTTTCCTGCGGCAGGGCAGGCTCTGAGCCCTTTTGTCTGGCCCAGCTGAAGATACACACTCCACAGGGAAGCCTCCCACGAGCGGTGAGACCAGCTGTTTTCCCACACCGCAGAGCATCCTCCCCGTCAGCTCCCAGCCAGCTGCTGGCTGTGCAGGGGAAATGCCCACATCACCCTCACTCACCTGTGGTGGCAATGCAGTCAAAGCCCACAAAGGCGTAGAAACAGGTGGCAGCACCAGTCAGGATCCCTTCCAGTCCAAAGGGGACAAACCCACCAGAGCCAAAAGCTTTTTTCCTGGAAAAAAAGGGAGAGCAGCTGCCATGGAGTGCAAGGACAGCATGGCCTGCCCTGTGCCAGACCCTGGCCTGGCACGGTTGCTCTCCTTACATGTCATCCGGTGAGTCTGACAGTGAGCAGTTGACATGGTCCTCCCCTGAAAGCTGCCAGTTCTTGATGTCTCCCTTGATGAAGCCAGCGATGATGACGAAGCTCAGCACCAACAGGTTCACCGCTGTGAAGATTTTGTTCACAAGGGCAGATTCGCTGGCACCAAAGGCCAGCAGTACTGTGGGGACAGAAGAAGTGAGTGGGGACCCATCAGGCTCCCATGCCATCACCCATGGTACCATGAAGCCACTCCTACACACTTACCCGTAAGCAAGACAATCAGGAGTAAAGCAAAGAAGTCTGGACGCTCAGCCAGCACTCCCGGTAGGTGCATTGAAGTCTTGTTGGCGAAGAAGGTGGAGATGTGGCTGCCGATGATGTTGTCAAATGTTGCACTCCAAGCTCGAGCCACACTGGCCGTACCTGGTCAATGGCAAATCTGGGCATTGGCCCGAGCCCAGGGCAGACTGGCACCAGCCACACCTGAGCACCACCTCCCTGCTGGTCCCACTGACACCCTGCACCCACAGCACCACACACTGCCCCCAGAAGTCCACCATGCTGCCAGCATGGTGCTGAAGGAGCCCAGGCACACACAGCAGCATGTTTCCTGGCCTCGTACCTATCACATAGGAGAGAATGAGGTTCCAGCCGGCTATAAAAGCCCAGATCTCTCCAACGGTGACATAGCTGTAGAGGTAGGCAGAGCCGGCCTTGGGGACACGGGCCCCAAACTCTGCATAGCAGAGCCCAGCCAGTACCGATGAGAAAGCAGCCACCAAGAAGCACAGGACAATCGATGGACCAGCCGTTTCCTTGGCTACCTCTCCAGCCAGGACATACACACCGGCTCCTAGGGTGCTGCCCACCCCCAGGGATACAAGGTCCAGTGTGGACAGGCAGCGAGCAAAATGTGTGTTTTCGGAACTCAGGTCAACAAGCCGCCGACGAATGAGCTTCTTCCCAATACTGGCCATTTTTTCGCCCATCATTTTGTTCTTTCCTTGGTGATGTCCAGATGCTTAAAAGCCCTGTAAGAAAAGGGAAGTATGAAGCTGAGTGCCCTTCAGGCAGTGTGACTAACACTGTAAGGGGCAGGGCAGGCAATGCTGCCCACAGGAGCCTGCTCCCAGCTTACCCATTGGCACCACGTCCCTGTCACAATGGCTGACCAGAGACCRTGGTGGTGGCACCCTCCAAGGCTCTGTGGGGCTGCACACTTTGCCTGCGCAGCCCCTGCACCACGGATGAATCCCAGTCCATGGTGGGAAAGAACCTCATTGCTCCAGCCCTGTGTGGTCTCAACCATGGAGCCCCTCGGCATATCCCAGAGCTTGCCMACTGTTTCCCAGGCTTGGCAGTCTGGAGATCCTTCAGCCCAAACTTGACTGCTGGCACATTGGTGTGGAGACAAATAATTCCTCCAGCAGAGGATCTGGCAGGCTGGATGCAGCCCTTCCTCTTTTGCTTTTGGCTTCTGCAGCACATTCTTTACAGGGATGCATAACCAGACAAATGCATGGGCCCCGGGTGTAAACCCCTAGGAGAACTTGCTGAGCGGCCTGCAAGCTATGCAGCCTGTAATCACCCTGAACGTGTGACACCCCCACTTCTCTGGCTCACAACAGCCCCCCATCCCCAAAAAGTTCTGAAGATAAGCAACCTGTGAAGCAGGCATTGAGCACAGATAGAGGAACTGCAAGGAGAGCAGCTCCCCCGGTCCATGGCTGCAGCTGRCACCTCTGCCCAACACCATCCACTCACCAGTGCCTTCTCCCTGTGGGCTTCTCCCTTCATTGGAAAAGGAGCATCCTTTCATTCATTGAGAAGGGGCTCCATCCAGGTGCCCAGCACAGCACATCGCGCTGCATGGATAAGTACACAAGACCCTGATGCAGGGGAGAAACTGCTTGCTAAACAGTGTATATTGCTTACTTAACTTTTGTGTTTGTGAAAGCAGGGACTGTGAGCCCAGGCAGCTTCTGGTCCAGGTTTCAAGGGAACAAGTGCCCCAGCACTGGGACCCTCCTCAATCTGACTGATTTCCCCAGTGCTGCTCAATGGTTCCAAGTATTTCCAAAATGAGACGCGAGCTCCGCAAGGGTAGAGGAGAGGAGAAGCGGTAGCAGGAGCCTCCTGCTGCGCGCTGCATCCCCGTTGCCATCATACCCCGCCAAGACTTAGGGTCGGTGCCGGGGGCCGTTAGCTCGGAACCATCATCCCAGCCCCCGTGGGTCCATCACCGGTCCCGAAGAATGCCAGACAGGCTTCGTCCCGCCGGGGAGCCCGGTGATGCCCCAGGTACGGCAGAACCCGAACAGGGARAGCAGCACCGGCCACGTGCGCGGGCGGTAGCTGATGCAACAGTGGCACCGGTTGCGCCAAACCCCTCCCGGTCCCACTCACCGGCGGCGCGGCTCCCCACGGCCTCTGCTCGGCTCCCTCCGATGCGATCCCCGTCAGGTGAACTCAGTTTAATTCGCCGCCGCTGCCGAGAGCTTGGCCGGGGACCCGCTGCTCCCGCACCAATCCGATCCGAACGCCAGCGCACGCCAACTGCACTACTGGCGCTGCCTGGCAGAGGCGGGAGAGCGGGAGCCCCTCCCTCCCAGCCCAGACGCGCCTTTTCCCGCCCAGATTTTCGTAAATAGTTTCGGAAATAAGGGGCAGAGGGGGCGGCACGGCGGGGGGGGGAAGTCACGGCTCGGCCAGCCCTGCTGTATACAGGGGCTGTGAGCAGAGCTCAGCCCGAGGCCTGTAGGGCAACTCTATCCCGACCTCCCTATGCTCTGCTACAGCCTCCTCAGCCCTGGGAGCAACAGGCAGCCCTAAGTGATGGAAATGCCAGTCTTGGGGAAGCTGTTCGGCAGCCAGGAAAAAGGCAGGAGCCAGCACCATCCTCTTGAAAGCAATGATTTCCCTGACACTGTCCAGCATGCAGTGGTGAGCGCCCGTTCAAAGTGGCAGCCCACAGGGAGGTGAGCCAGCCCCTTGTCGGCATCGCTGGCAGTGCTCTGCTCCGGCGCCGCCGAGGCAAAAGGCTTTCCAGTCGCTTGCAGAGCRGAGCGGAGCAGGCTGGAGCGCTAGGCAGCTGCCCTCCCTCCTACTCCGGACTGGAAACGGCAGACGCTGCGGTGACCTCACGGTGATGGAAACGCCAGCTCATGCTCCGAACACGCAGTGACGCGGGCTCTGCCCCCGCTTCCCAGCATCGACGGACTGCTGAGGAGAAACGCCCCGTTCCCCTCTGACCCCCAGGAGGAAGTAAGCTCAAGCTCAAAAGGCATGGCTGATACTCCCCAGACACTTCCCGCTCGCTTGCAGGGCTGCCATCTGTAGGCAAGGACTCAGCTGGGCAGCACCATTGCCGTGGGTGTTCTCGGGCAGGGCAGGGAGTACCAGGGGCCCAGCAGGACTCCAAGCAAGGTGACCCTGTCCCAGAGAAACAGAAACTGGGTGCCGAGAAGAGTGAGGGGGCAGATGACATCGTGATCTGTCTTTTCCCAGAACCCTTATTGCAACATCAGGCGCTGGAGCCAAAGCTGAGGAAGGGTAATGTGCCATCAGCCAGCACTGGCTTTTCCCACATCCAGTGTGAAGATGGTCTAAGGTGACCATACAGCTGCCCACCACCACCACCATTCAAGCATCCCACGCGGAAGCACCAGGTTTGTCCAGAAACACTTCCCCAGAGCCACACTGTATCTCCATCCACCAGCTCCTCCTTGCAGCAGACCTCAAGTCTCTGGCTGAGCAAGAGCAGCCACAGAGAAGCACAGAGCTGCCCTGTTTGCCCAGTACTCTGGGGATCAGTGGGCAGCACTGGGCACTACCTTTACTCAAGCAGACAGCAAGCACTACTGCAAAAGACACCTTTATTTTAAATACAAGGAGTTAGAAAATTAATTAATTCAAGAGCTCCACGTGGATCATACACCCAGAGGCTCACGCAGCTGGACAGTGGCTGTTATCTGTCCCCATGTCCCAGCTGTTAGTCTCTCCCCAGGTCACCACTATCAAACACTGCTGCATCTTTCAGATTCCTGAAGCAACAGCACCATCAAAGCAGTAATGCTTCTGGCACTCAGCACGTGACCCCTGGGAAAGGCCACAAGCTGTGTCACTTCCACCTGGCAGCCCTCAGTTATACTGGCAAGGGATCACTGGAGCATCCCTGCATCCTGCCCAGAGGCAAGGGCCCACCACAGTGAGGGAACATACCTGCTGCTCTGAGCTGAGCCTGCAAGCTGATTGTCTGCTGATAGGCTTCACACTGGGCAGTCTTGTCAGCTGCAGACAGGAGGCAAGAAGGTGTGTGCTCAGCCCATCCTAAACACCTCACCCCCAGACTCACTAGGGCAGCAGCTGAGATCCTGCTCTACCCCCTAGACAAGAAACCAGCCTCATTCCTATGGGGCTGCAGGCCCTGGGCTCCAAGTACCACCACAGGGATGTCACCTGGATTGCAGGTGTCCTGCAGTCCTCAGAGCAGCCAGCTCCACGTACCAAGCTCGCCCTTCACTTGCTCCAGCTCTTTCTTCACTTGCTCCAGCTCTTTCTTCACACGCTCCAGTTCCTGGGACAGTTGATCACCTGCAGACTGGCAAGACCAGGGCGTAAGTGTGATGCAGAGAGTTGTTACCCCCACTGCAGCAGAGCCCATCCTCTGGAGGAGCACTGCAGCCTATCCAACACTCCAAGCTCAGCACTCTGGAGACCACTGCCAGGGCATGTCCATCACAGGAGCGGTGCCTAGCAAAGGAGCCACTGTAGTGAGTATCTGCCAGCACCTGTGGGTGGCAAGAATGCCTTTGGCTGGCTGCAGTCACACAATGAAGAGCCCTAAAACTGCTGGAAAATGCACAAACTTATTTTTCAGGTAGGAGATTTCCTAACTTGGAGCTTCATCTTGCTGCAGACTCTGCTCTCCCCATCCTGGAGCTACATCCTACATATCAGGACATATAAATGTGACAACACAACCCACAGGAGGTTCACATGTTTCAAAAGGCCCTTAGAAAATCTAACTGGACAGAAGCCTGTGGTCCCCTGAGCAGTGGAGCGGTGGTAAAGTCATGCAAAAAATGCACATGGTCTTGTGTAAATCCCAGGGAAGGACTAAAACAGCTCAGGTGCCAGCCAGGAAATGATGAAAACTAGGGCTGCCCACCTCCCACCTCTGGTATACCTGGCCCAAGACAGAGGCTGAACAGTGCTCCATGGTGCCAGGACACAGCTGGCTCTTACCTGCTTAGCAGAGACTGCATCTTCACACCTTGAAGTCAGGCCAGGGGCCAACCCACAGGACAAAGAGCACTCCACACACACCCAGGTCTGGTTAGCCTTACCTGTGAAGAGAGGTATCACATTAGAAACCTACCATCCTTGGCCTTTCTTCAACYTGGCCATAGAGCTGCTCCAGGCCAGGAAAAGTCAGAACCTCTACAAGAGAGTCAGACATCTCACAGCACCTACAGCCCAACAGCTACTCCTGGCTTAGCCTATATGGGTGCTGCTGGGAGAAAAGTGCTTCTGCATGGCCTCGCTCCCAGCAGCTCTGGGCTCCTGCCTGAGCAGACAGAGAGGGCAGGCAAGGACAGAGCTGTCCCAGCAGAGTGGGGACAGCCTCCTCGCTTCCCCTTCCTCTCAAGGGCTCAAGACTGCAGGCTGCCCAGCTGCAGTTCCTGCGAAGGCAGCACCCCCTGCCTGTGCTTCAGGCACCTGGTCAGCCAGGATCCAGCCRGGGAGTGGTGCTGCCCAAGAAGCACCTGCCCATTTTTATCCACAYTCTCCTCAACACGGGGCAAGAATCTGCACTTCTGTTCTGCTCACCTGCTCCCAAGACAGTCCCAGCTGCAATCAAACTTTCTTTGCTCTCACCATTCTCCTTCAGCTCTTGAGTCCTATTGCACACCAGCTCCTGTGCAGTTGATTCTGAAGTGTGACCCAGGAAATGAAAACAAAGAGCATCAATCTCTGACTGACCACAGTCACTCCCTCTCCTATGAATGAGCTCGAGGACCAGATTTGTTCAGGCTCTTTACTGGGTGCCTCTACAGGAAAGGAAGGAAGGGACGTCACCTAGCCTTGCTTGCTCTGCACTTCACCTCCCCTCCTGTGAGCATGAGCTCTAGTCCTTTYCCCTTGATCAGCTTTATCCCTGCAGCCAAGACCTGAGTGTTCTTCCCATGGCAGGAGCTCCCCTCTCCCACAACTCTGCAGCCTCTGAGGCTTCTGCCAAGACTCACCATTACTGAGGCAGAAACGCTTGGATGAAGCCACTTTGCCCGGAGGCCGCAGTGAGGAGCGGGAAGCCACAGTAGGAATTGCAGTAGATAGCCGTGAGGGGGGCTGTTTACGACTCCCAACCTTGACAGCAGCTGTGGTGGACAATAAACACAGAGGCTGCTATTCCAAAGCAGCTCCATCGCACCCTCTTCAGGCAGCCCGGGGCTCAGCCAGGCTGCCTGCCCTACCCCCACGGGCACCAGCACCCTGTGACCCCACAAAACCATAGGGTGAGGGCTCCAAAACCAACAGGTTGCCGGCCCACGTTGGCGTGAGGCCAGATAGCGTTAACACATCCCTTGGGGTATGAGGATATTTCCTAGGCTCCTACCTGTGCCACTCCCATGGATCCCCACTCCCCATGCTCTGATCCCGGCCAGGCAGAGGCAGCAGCCCAAGCCCACCCACTTCTCCCTTCTAGATGCAGCACCCTAACCCACATGCTTCCCTGCCTCGCGTAAGGCAACTGGCAGGTGCAGAATTACTTTTCATCTCTCGGAGAGCAGGTTTGGGACGGGTGGAAGGCTGTGCCTGCTGCGTAGCCCCGCTGACATGCTGAAGCCTGGACCTGGCAGGCGACGTCAGCTTCAGCCTGGTACCTGGGGGAAAGAGAGGATTGTGCAGCGCCGGACGGGCGGTGGCCGTGCCGGGGCTCCCCGCAATGGCCCCGCTTACCTGGGGGCTTACCTGGCAGCCGAGTTTCCCAGGCGCCGCGCCCCGTGCCGGCCGCGGGGAGCCGCAGCCCCAGCGAGGCCCTTGTGCGGGCGAGAGCGAGCCTGCCGCGGCCGCGGCCCGGAGTGCGGGCAGGGCTGCCGGGGTGGCCGGCCGAGAGCCGTCCGGCAGCGTGCCGCGCCCGCTGGGATGGACGAGCGAGGCGGGTGCCGGAGCCACCGCCGGCAGTGGGCTGTGGGAGGCACCCGGGCTCCCTTCGGGTCGGGCTTGGGGCAGCAGCGGCCTCGCAATCGCTCACACTCAACTGCGGGACCCGCCCGTGGCTCGGGACGGGCAGAGGCGTGGAGGTGATGGGCCCCGCGGGCGCGGGCTGCAGCGCGCTGAGCTCCCCCAAGCCAGTCGAGGGCTCCGGCTGCAGCGGGCTGAGCTCCCCCAAGCCAGTCGAGGGCTCCGGCTGCAGCGCGCTGAGCTTCCCCAAGCCAGTCGAGGGCTCCGGCTGCAGCGCGCTGAGCTCCTCCGAGCCCGGCGGGGGCTCTGCACCGAGGCGCAGGCGGGCGGCGATGGCGCGGCACTCTTCCTCGAAGAAGCTGAGGTAAACCGGAGAGAGCGGAGAGGGCGGAGGGGGCGGCGAGCACAGCGTCTGACCGTGCAGCATCAGGTCAGGGCAGTCCGGCGAGCCGGGGCCGGCCCGCGACTCCGGCCACGACATCGCACCTCGGTACCGCCGCGGAGAATCAAGAAGCCCCACCCGCCCCCGCGCTGCGCCCGCCCAGCCGGAGCCCGCTCTGTTCCGGCTGTTCTCCCGCCCCACCTGTGTCCGCCCTGTCCCAGCGCTTCCCCCGCCCCGCTTGTGCCCGCTCTGTCCCAGCAGCACTCCCGCCCCCCTTGCCGGTGCCCCCCTCGCTCTCGGCGGTTCCCCCAGCACCAGGCAGACAAGTGGCTTCACAGTGGTTTAATGCGAACGGCACCGGGACGTTACACTGAACAGGGTGCAGACAGCTGGATGGATGGCAGCCCCGCACAGGGCAGGGGAAGGGGCCGCCCCGAGCACGACCGGCGGCGGCAGGAGACGGAAACCGAGCCCTTCCGTGGCCACGGCCGCCTCCACCGGCACCAGGCTCCGCGCTGCCCCACGGCCTTTTTCGGGCCGAGCCAGCCCCAGGAGCGGTTCCCTCGCGCTTTCAGCGACTTCTCCCCAAGAGCCACCTCTCGCCCAGCAGTGCCGCTTCCTCATCAGAAAACAGAGGAGACGTTGGGAAGGCCTCGGAGAGTGTGCCTAGCAGGAACAGGAAGGCATCCACTGCAGGCCTGTGCTCCACGAAAGGCTCAACTGTGCCACAACAAAGTGACCTAGCGCTTATAAACCAGCCAGCCTTGACCTGAGGAGCCCCGAGCTGAGGCCCAACCTCACTCATCACAGCTGGGGCAGCTGGGGGAGCCTCCAAATAATATTTCTGCAGCAAGTCACAGCCTCGTTGTCCCCCCAATCTCTGAACACTTCCCTGGCCAGTCATGTGTTCTCACTTCCACACAAGTGACTGCCTAGCTCACTGCACAACAGAGAAGAACACAGAGCCATCACTACTTCTCCTGCTTTGTAAATAAACATCTAACCTAGAACTGATTGACCATGTTTTGCCATCCCTTTCTGGAGAGGTGGCCTCACACCAAGCCCCACTGCTGGGTTCCTCCTGTGGCAGCCATCACGGATGCATCCTACAATTGCTCCCACCAGCCTTCTCTTGCTCCTCCTCAGCCAGACCGTCTGCTCCTCCCTGCAGCTGGGGCGCAGGATAAGGTCACCAGGCTCAACCGAGCAGGGTGCTGCAGGGAACACCAGCACAGCAGCCCACAGCACAGCAGCTGTGGCGTTTCTTAAACTCTGGGCCAATACATCACAGTACACATGGCTACAGCCCAGACTATCCCATCTTCCACATGCCAAATGGCCCACACAGAGCATCATGAGAGCACATGGGATGGAAACCCCTCGAGCTGCCAGCAGCACCTTAGAAAGGAGGGGGCACAAATACACCAAACAGGTCTGTAATGCAGGAGGCCGACAGCGGGGTTTGAGTAGGTGTTGGGTCTCAGCACTTCCAGACAGTGAAGAATGGGGGTTTCATGCAGGGTGAATGGGGTGGATGAGAGACCGACACACCCAGGCACCTACTCACTGGTTTGGATAAACCTTACTAAAACTCTAATACCTGATATAATCACTGACCAACATGACAACTGCTATTCTTCAAAGTCTCCTGCAGAGATGCTTGGGGCTGCACAGACAAGGGAGTGAAGGTCATCTCATACCTTCCTGTACAGGGAGAGAGAGGCAGCTCCTACACCAGAACACCATTAGCAAGTTCCTGTTCCACACCTATCCACATCTGCCCCTGGATGTGGGACAACACGTTCACTTGCATAAATCTTCACACCTTTAGGCCATGACCACAGCCCAGTAGAACAAACTGCTGCCAGTTACAAAAGAGGAAAATACTGAACAAACTGGGAGGTTCAAGAGAGGAAAAGCTGGTTCAGAGAAGACAGATTTAGTGTAAAAATAAATGTCATTTTTGCAGGAGGGAGGGTGGAATGGAGGAAGACAGTGCCAGGTGCTCCTACTGGCGCACTTTCCCTGGGACGTAATTCCTATCAATAGTCTCCTCTTGCAGGAACATATGTAAGCAGCGCTCATTCTGTGCCAGTGGGTGTCCAGCAATTCTGGAAGAAAATCAGATGTGGAGGTTAGCACAGCTGCCTTCAAGACCCCCACGCCTCTACTGTCTGTAGGAGGGAGTCAGGCAGCCAGCTCAGCCCACCTGCACCATGCTCAGCCCAAGGTCAGCCTGCAACAGGACCAGCAMGAGGTGCTTGAGCACAGGCTGTTCCCTTCCACACCATGGCCTGAACCGATAGTACAGTGTTGGTGGGTCCCTGTAGCACAGCTGTTCTACTAGTACTCACTACAGTCTCAGGAGAGAGCACAAAACACAACCCCCACGCAGGGCAGGACTTGCTCCAGTTCCAGTTTCATTACATGGTTACAGGCACCACCCTTCAACATTGGCACCTGCCAGCAGCAGGTCAAGACTCAAAACTCTCTCGCAGTCAACCCACGGCCCAACAGCAGCCAAAGAGGCATCCCACAGCAAACAACAAACCCAGAACATCAAGCTTACTTGTTAATAAACTGTTCTAGGCCCTGTCTCCGCTCCTCGATGAAGGACTCCTCAAAGATGCCTTCATCTCCTCGGAAGGGAAGCTGTCGTTTCAAAGCTTTTCCAGGCAGCGGTGGCACTACAATCTGAAAGCACAAAATCACCCTATGAGCAGAACAGCYACCTGCAAGCAGATATCCTTTGCTGTTTGATGCTCATCTCCAGTGCCATCACATGGACAGAGCCCCAGAAGGTGCCCACTGTCAGGAGACTGGGTAAGTTTCAMGTCTCAAAACATTTTGGGATGCTTGGCGAATGCTTGTGTTTGGTGGGAGGGGCAGATCAGGTCTTTTGAAGGCAAGACAGTGAAATGCCCCAGCCTAGAGCCAGCATCCCAGCCTTAGCAGAGCTGTCCATCAATCACACACTGTGGACAGTGCTAAGCCAGCCCCTGAATGCCCAAGCAGCCAGAAGCCTCACCTTGAGAGCACAGGGGCCATAAAGGCTCAAAAGCCCCTGTGAGGGACCTACTTGTTGTCTGGACCCTGCCCTCTCCTGGAGTTTTCATCTCACCCATGCTGGAACCCTAGGAGTTGGTAGTTATATATGTGTTTTTCTGTCTATTTTCTGTCTTTCTCATTCTTCTCCTTCTAATCCTCTTTTTATGCTAAGCTAATACTAAATTAATGCTAAGTAATGTTATTATAAGTGTTTTATAAGTTTATTCACTCCTTTGCCGAAGTTTCTTAATTTCATGTATTTTTACCAGTGAACTTTTGTGTATTTGTGACCTCTTGAGAGTACCTGGTTGGGATTTCTCCTTGYGCCAAACTGGAGAAAAGGAACCTCAGTTTAACCCCTGGATTCAAGTGTCTGGGGTGCAACACCCACAACTACAGCCTCACTTCTGGGCAGCTCAAGATGATTGCTGCAACTGTTCCCATGTCCTGASTTTAGGGACAGGGTGGTCTGCACAGGCCTAACCTTACTGTCTCGTTCCAGCTCATTCTTCAGCCACTCAAAGTCGCTGTATCGTCTCCTCACACACGACTCCTTCAATTTGAAGATGGGGAGGTTTGTCTGTAAGGAAGCAAAGCAGTTAATTTCCAGGTTGCTCTGGAAGCCACACAGTATTTCAACATGTAACTGAAACCTGAAGCTGCAAGGAGAAAATCAAACCCCCTGAGAAGGAGCCATGATGGGAACACTCAGCTTCCTTATTCAGGACAACATTAACACCAAAATCCTTCAGATCCAAGCAAGCCAGTCTACTCGGTGCCAGCCATTCCCTCTCCCTCAAGTGACTATTTCAGGAACACACCCCCTTTCCCAGGGGCACACACAGGAACCGACAGTGCTGACAATATCATTGTCCACACAGTGCTGACAATATTATTGTCAAGAGAATGATTTTTTTTTTTCCCCTCCCCAGGTTCATTCCATTTTGAAGTGATCTATAGGAGAGCTTCGCAGCAGCCTGCGGAGCAAAAGAACATCTGACCCAATACTGGCATCTCCACGGAAGAATAGGAAATCTTGCCCCAGCAATTGTTTAAGGCCAGACCTCTGTCTACAGTCTTCTCTCAGAACAGACCACCTACCCCAGCAGGCTTTTCATGTCCATCTTGTGTCACTGGAGAAATGTGCAGCAATTYCGCACCTTTCTCCCCTGCCACTGGAGTCCAACAACTGACAGCTACATTAATTTCATCTTTACCCCATCAACACAGCCCGAATCATTCCAGGAACGGTGACAGCAAAACCTTCACTAGATGGGCAACACTTAGATATTGCTGCAATGCGATTAACTGTGTTCTTATGAGGTCTGTGAGATAAACCCAGCTGCTTTCAGAGCATCTCCGCTGGTTTCAGGGGGACTAAGATGTTCCCGTTGCCATCTGCAGGCTGATGGCAGCCAAGCACCAGAGCAGAAAAAAGCAAACAACAATTCCTTTGAAAGACAGTGAAGACTCAGCAGTTAACTTCTGCTATAAGCAGAAGTTAAATCAGCACCACAACAACATGGTAAAGGGAGCTTGCTTTAGGGGAAGCTCAATCTTATTTTCTCCAGCTATCAGAGCTGCGAATGGGTCGGTGAAGGCCCATTGACGAGAACCCTGCTCAGCCTGCTATGCACACTCCTGGGTCATGGGCTTTTGGTAAAGCAGCCAGCCTGCCGTGTGAGCAGGTCCCAAGATACTGCTACCCAGCTCTACTCCCCTGCTTGAGATAACCAGCTACGTGCAGCCATGCCCTGCTCAGCAACCACCCAGTGGGGCTCTACGGAGGGGACAGGCGCAGGAGCTTGCTGAGGCAGCACCTCCCTCTCCCTGTGCGCACCAGCCCCCGCTGGATGCCGAGCGGCCCCGGCGAACCCAGCAGCTCTGACCTTGAGCCCCGGAGCGCCGCAGGCGCGGTGCTCGCCCCAGCTCGGTGCTGCCCSGGGCTTCGCTTCCTCCGCCCCCCGCTGCTGAACAGCGGCACCACCCCAGCCCTACCCGGCCGCCTTTCCTCGGCCACCGCGTCCCGAGCGCTGCCGCCCCTCCCCGGGCCGCASACCCGCACACCGAGCAGCCCAGCCCCGCAGGCCCGACGGGG